AACCGTGTGGCGAAACGCCACCAAGGCGTTCGCCTTGTTTGAGGTGGGCAGGCGCCGCAACGACGTGATCCGCTTGGAAAACAATTTAGTGGGGGATCCCCTCGGCGTCCCACCAGAACCGTGGATGTGTGGGAGGCACTCTGTGGTGATGCGACGCTGGTCTCGAGCCCTGGTCGCCTAGGGTGACGACGCTGGTGATGGGACCGCGTTGGCGACCGCGCGCCAACGCAAAGAGGCGCGATGACGATGGGGCGAGGATTGTCTGAGCCTCGTCCGCCAGCTGTTTCGTCTCCATGTCGACTGGGCGGCTGCTGCGGAGCCGCCCCCTTGTTGCCAACACAGCCCTCGGCGTGTGGACGATGCTGCCGAGTTCGCAGGACGCTGTCTCGAGCTTCGTTTATGCATGGGGGAGTAAAGGACCCGGATGTGAAGATTTTGTCGCGCAAAGCTTGTGCTGCCGCAATATCCGCATTCCCACATGTTTCATGTCAGCATGCAAAAACATTTGCACCTCTCCATGTGCTGCGAGATGCGCAAAAACAACATCAGGATCTTCAAGGGTCTGGGGTTGGGTTCCTGGTTTGCGTTGTTTCGAATGGGGTTGAGCAACAAACGCTTCGCCGTTCCACAAAAACATCCTTTAAAAAAATATTTTTCTCTTTAATTGGACCCAGATGCCCCCAATCAAGGCGGTTGGGGCGGCCTGGTGCAGGAGCTCCTACCAGCGATCTCGAGATAACAACTCAATTCGTCGTTGCGTTAGTAGAACAAAATTTGCTCACCGTCATCGCGCTTGAAATGGGAAGGCGCTGGAGCATTGAGGCCGCCAACTTCGTCCGCTTGCTTCTAGGCGCCGGGCGCGGGCCGTCCCAGCCACCTGCCGGGCCGCAGCCATGTTTCCCTTCACGCTGCGTTGGTCGTCCCCCATCTCCTTCGCAGCTGCGCGGACTTTCGCCGCTCGTCTACTGTCGCTCCCGCTCGGTGGCACTGCCAACGTTGACGGGGATCCCCCCCTCCTCAGCGAGGTCCTGGTCGATTCCACCATCCCTGCCCCCATTGCAAGCCGCCTCCCGTGAAGGCTTCCGAGCCTTGCCGTTGCGCTGCCCGTGGACCGTCTTGACCAGCAGAAAAAGGTGCGAAGGAAAAATCAAAAATCCACCCCATTTCCTGGTTTTGGCGCCTCCCGCGCGACCTCGAGGCCTGCTCGCAGCACCCGGCGCAAAGCTGCTCGTGTTTGCGGTTTACTCGCCACTTCCAAGATCCGACGTGAAAGCGAACTTGTTCACAGCTCCTCCGCGGCTGCTTCCGCACCGGCACGTGCGCCAACGCCCCCTCCTGTTGCCCTGACCCTGCCTGCCTCGACCAAAACAACAGCTTGCGGCAGTCTCCGCAGCTTAGTCTCGTCAACGTCCGCCTCCGGGGCTGGACCAGCGGGCTGCGCGATAGATTGTCGAGGGCATGCGGCTACAAGGGGCGGCCCAAGGGAAGAGTCTGTAGTCCACGTTCCACGTTGCCCGTTTTGCAGCAGGAGCGGGGGACCGGCAGTAAGCCACTTGACAAACTCGGCGGCCTGCATGCTCCGTGTCACTGGGTCCGGCTCCGCGCCGGCGCCGCAGACCGACGCAAACGGCGCCAAACCTACCCCGAACTCCACGGCAGGCATGCGCGGCTCGTCGACATCGGGATCGAAGTCGGAGGGCGCTTCAGCACCGATGCAGCCTCCTTCCTGCGCCTCCTGGCACTGCACCGCGCAGCCGGCGTCGCTGGGTGCAACAGTGGTCCGGAAAACTCGCGGTGGCAGCGATGCGTGGATAGGCGGCTAGCCTGCTTGAGCTTCCGGCTGCTGGTGAGGATTGCGTTGCGCGTGCGGGTGAAGTGCCCGAACTGCACGAAGTTCTTGCGGACGTGCGGGGCAGCCGCTTGGCAGCGCCCCCGTTGGCTTCAGTGGTTATCAGGTCGATGAGGATTTGTGGCCGCTGATGGACAAAGGTCTGGAAGATCACAAACAGAACACACGCATAAACCCGTCAAATCCTGGCGGTCGCCATCATCATACCACTACTATCATCTGTTTCCACCCTAGCTCGCGCAGATGCGTTCGTTCCCTTTTCATTTTATTAATACAATAAAGAACACGCGTATCTTGTTACAAACGAGGGAGGTCATTATGAAAGAGCGCGTGATTAGTATGATGTGTGAAAACGAAACGGCCCGTTCAGTTTAGGCCCGGGATGAAACATGTACTAAACGACGAAGAGAAATACACTAATTGCATTTGCCAGGAGTTCATGACGCATGAAACGCACGAACTGTATGAGCGAGATTTTCCCTTGCCCGGCGGTGAGACTAGTAGAAGGATGCGAGGACCGGAATGTGGCGCTGCCGCCTTGTCGTGATCGGGCTTGAGGTTGCAGGGCGCTTCGGTCTGAAGCAGCCACCTTCCTCCGCCTGCTTGCGCGCCACCGGGCTGCGGCTGTCGCGGCGTGCTTGCGACCCGCGGCCCGGGATCCATGCTGGACTGCGCTGCTCGCAGCTTCGCCAGCTCCCTCCTTGAGCTGCCCCTGGCGGGCGAGGCCAACGGCGAGAACAGCGCTTCATGAGCTCCTCGCTGACGGGCGCTGGGAAAGGCCGGTCGCCGCAAGCCGCCTCCCTGACCGCTGCCTCCCTGACCTGCGAGGAAAAAAAACGGAATGTTGGACGCACTTTGACTTCGTGAGTACACGGGCCAGTGGTCATATTGTAGTAGCCGCCTGCCCATGCGGCCTTGAGAACAAAAGTCTGCGCCGGAGTAAAGGAGCGTAAAAAGACAAAAAACCATGCGCATTTTTTAAATGTAATGGTTTATGACGGTGTGTTCACTTCACTTTGTTGTTAGCCTTAAAACAAAAGTGCATAGTTGGCTAACCGCCCGTATTGTTCCAAGAATTGGCTGGACCATGGTAGGCTTGGCACATACGGCCGTTCCAGGAATGCACTTCCGTGTGCTCCCGGACCTGCCCGGCTTTGCACGAGCTTACAACCGAGCCTCGTCGCTGCCCGCTCGTAGCTGTAGGTAGGCGTCTGACGGTGGAAAAAGGTGACAAAAACATGCAGATTGATTTCAGCTTTGATTTTTTTTGAAACGGTCATAACCATATTCTGTGTCATCAAGGCCAGTGGGGAAAAAACATGATGAGTTGTGAGGCATTTACGCAAGCTTTGCAGACATCCTTTTGCGTTCACATGGTCGTGTCAGAAACGGTTGCTGGTTTCGAACAGTGCTTGAGCAGATTGTGGCCATGGCTTCTGCGGCATCTGTGACCGATGTGGTGCACTTAGTCTTGGTCTGCACGTGTACATATGCCGTGCCTGTAGCGCCTCACGCCTGCTTCTGAGGGCGATGCGAGAAATGGCAGTGCAGCAAGTATTAAAAGACCGCCTCCAAACACGGTGTAGAGGTTTGTTTCGTTGCGCAACGACAGAGGCAACGACAGCAGCAAGGTCACGCAAGCGATGTTATATGCAAAAAGAACAAGGAACAATTCATCGCACACAGTTCACAGATTCGTGTCGCGCTGCCCTCAGTTCAAGGTAGGTCGAAGGTTCCACAAAGGCGCGCCAGGCACACACTTTTTTGTGCCAACGGGTGCCTATGACCATGTATGCATGTGCTACGTGTTGCACTCCCCTTGTGTTGGTTTGTCCTGTCCCGCCCTCTGAAGTATAGGGAAGGGGTGTTGCAGCGGCGGTTTTTTCATGTCTTTGGGCACCATCGTTGGGGAGATTCGTGTTGGAGGTCCTGATTCTGTACGTGAGTGAAATTCAACATCCGCAAGTTGGACGATCCAAGGCCTGAAGTGCGGCCACAGTGGTAGCAGTTTTTGCCCTTTACGCTCGGGCCGAGATTCAGCCACTATCACGTCATCCGATCCTAAAGCATGTGCCCTTGATGCGCGTATGCTACGAACGATTGCGAGAGTCGACACATGTGCTGCATATGTGCGAACCTTATCGCTGAACGGTGATGTGTTGATGTGCGAAGGCGCTGGGGGTTCCCGAAGGAACGACAGCCACCAACATGTGAAGCACAGACAAAAAACCAGCGGTTTTGTGCCTTGCTCTGTGTGTGTGTGTGTGGAAACAGGTTGTTCATCCTGGAAAGGCGTCACTGCCATAGCAGGGGGACGGAGGGGGTGCAGGGGAGCTCCGTCCAATGAAGCTCTCCCCTGCACCCCAGGAAAACGTACCTGCTTGCCCGCACCCGGGGTCCGGCGTGGCCAGCTGGTGAGGCATCATGTCACTTGCATCTTCATCTCATTTCGTGCTACGTTATTCCTTTGTGTCCGGCGTAGCAAGGGGCCGAAACCATACCCCTTACGGATCATCTCATCGTGTGTTTGTACGCCATTCCTGTGGTCTGGCATACACGGTACAAAAATCTCATCTCATCATCATGGCATGAAAGGTTGTGCTCCACACAGTCACCAATGCATCAGTGTGGTTGTGTGTGTGTGTGTGTGTGTGTGTGTGTGTGTGTGTTTTGTTTGTCTTTTGTTGTGTGTGTGTGTGTGTGTGTGCGTGGGTGTGTGTGTGTGTGTGGGTTGATGTGCATGCTGGTTTGCTGCATTCCAAGGACCGAAGAGACGAGGTGCACTTCCGCAAGAAGACATCAAACTTTGCGCATTTTTCGTGACATGAACATGACACAGCACGGAGTTGTATGTTTGTGCGCCTTGCCAAGACGTGTCTGTGGCTCGCCAGAAGACACGCTGGTTCAAGCTGAGCTTTCCAGCAGTTGCGTCCACGTGTCCGGGGCATTGCCACGAGGCAGGTTTGCGCAAGTGCATGGGCAGTGACACTTTCCGTGTTTCGGGTTTGCTGGTTTGAGAGCCGCCATGTTGTCCTGTTGTTTGCGGTCTTCCTGGAAAAATTTCACGAGAGAGCACTGTGTTGCTACGTGTTTGCCTGTGTGCTCGCTCAGGTTGGCGGTGCATCATTTTCTTGAGTGGCGCCATCACGGCATGGATGCCGATCAACCCTTCTCGGTCTTCAGATTGCCGGCAGGTGCAAAAGATGGCGTCAGTTCCATGCCAGTCCCTCGCGAGCCGGCCCGCGTGAACGCTCAACCGAAGCACGGTGACACCCATGCTTCCAACAGCCGCAGGTGGTCAGCCCTAGCGTGCGCTGCAGCATGCGGCGCCGCATCCGTCCGACAGGTAAAGCGAGTACAGAAGCGTTCTGCGGTCAACCGCAAGGTTTATAGAGTCCAAGTGGACCTTCCAGACCCGATGGATGTTGAAAAACAGATCGAGACGGTTGCAGGACCAATGTTTGCAAAGGATATTCAACAAGCTGGCCGTGCCGCCACTGACCTCTTGCATTCGACTGAGAAGGCGCTGCCCAAGATGATGCTTCCGGAACTTCCAAAAATACCGCTGCCTTCCTTGCCAGCGGTCCCCCCCGAGCTGACGGCGGCAGTAAAGCAGTTGGCAGCCAAAGTTGAGGCGGCGGCGCCCAACTTGACCACGGACTTGAAGAATCTGGCAGCCCATTTACCACCAGACATTGCCAAGGTTTTGTTGCACCCACAGGCTGTCCAGTTGTGTGTAGGACAGCCCTACAGCATGGCATGAAGTCGCAAATTCCTCAACACATGGCTTCTTGGGTTCTACTTGAGTCGAGTGTTCGGGCTTCACTTCACACCACGCTTTACTGGTGTCCCATCAGGTGCTGGAGCCTGTCATGCTCCCGGCGGGCGTGGGAGCTGTCGTGGTGTGGCTATTGGCCCTGCGCCGGGGCCCGCAGCCATGGATAGAGGATCCCAAAACCGGTCAAAAACCAGACAGTAGCACCAAGTTGCTATCCTACAAAAACTTAAGCCCGTTTCGCGATCGGACCGTTTCGCGATCGGATTGTGTCCCTAGAGGAGTTGCCTCGGGAGTACGATTACGGCCGCATCACCGCATACTGGCAGCGAAGGCAACCCGACAAGGATGCAGCTGATGTATGCGTGTGGTAGGGGTGATCAGTTCCCAGCCCTTTTGGCACTTGAGGCCCTTCAAGCTTCTGACGCGCTTCGTGGAAGCAGGAATCAAGGTCGGGGGATTTCTGCTATCCCGCAAATTGGACGAGTGGACTGGGACGGAAGACCAGATGCGTCCACAGAGGGCCGTGGAAGCGAGGGAGCTGATCACGGATCTGGGCGTGACCTTCATCAAGATCGCTCAGGTTTGGGCGTCGCGACCTGACATCCTACCCAAAGAGTCCTGCGGCCGGGATTTGTGCACATTTTGTTTAAGTTGAACGGCAGCTTAAGGATGCATCGGCGGAAAGCTTCTGTACAGTTTCGTAGAAGCATCGTGTCCATGTCGTGTGCGAAGCATGCGGAGTTAAAGGTACCTGAAAGAGTACGAGAAGCTTTTGGAGCAGGTGGGGGTGAATGCCCAATCCGCGATCCCCTTGGCAGATGGCAGAAGTAGTGCAGAAGTCCTTTAGCTGCTTGGAGGTGCGGCCCTTCGGCAAGGACTTGGCCTTGGAGACCCTTCGTCGGAAGGAAGAAGGGGGCAGGGCGGCCATCGATATGTTGCTGGGCGTGCGCTTGGTTTGCGGTCTCGGCATACATCCCTGCCGCAATGCAGAGTCTTCGCTTTAGCCCTAGCCATCTCGGGCCCCAAACCCCGGCTATCCGTATCTTGCGGTTTGGCTTGCAGATTCGCGTGCGCATTGCAGGGGCAAACAGGGGCTTACCTGGCTGAGATTGGCTGAGGGATCACACGGGGGAAAAAGCTTTGTTCCTGAGAATTGGGTTGTTTGGCCAAGTGCAAAAATCCAACCCAAGCCCCCCGGCCTGTGGGGCAGGCTCATGAAGTTTGGGTGGACACCTTCCCTGCTTAGATTGACGGGCCCGGAACGCCTGCACCAACCAAAGGTACAAGGAAGATGTAGAGAGAAAAATGCAACTGAGAGAAGTATTAAAGAAATACAGAAAGGACTCGCCGGCCCCTTCGCAAGCGGAGGGGGAAGCAGGTCTGGAGGGATCCAGTTCCTCCACTCACCATCACTCGCCCAGTTGTTGTGGTCTGTTACAATACCATCACTTGGATCCTAGACAGACAATCAAAGGTTTGACGACCTCAGTGTCTTCGAGAAGCCAATTGCCTCCGCCTCCGTGGGCCAGGCAGCTATTTTCGAAGGTCTCTCAGGTTTAAGCTGTTTGTGGTTGGTCGCACAACGCCTGCCGCAGAAGTGCTTGCAAGTGAATGTCGTTTCAGATAGCCGTAGCAGAGTTTTGCTGCAGATGTAGCCATCCCCAAGAATTAAAGGCAGATGGATTCAAGACCTTCACTCCGGAGCATCGTATTGGTGGACAGCAATTCAGCGATCCCAGCACTCCTGAATTCAACATTCATTCTAAGCTGTCGGCGAACCTGCCTCGAACTTTGCTCTGTACCCAAGCAACTCCAAAACCTCAAAGCCTTTTCGCCCAAGTGGTGGCGCGTGTGCGGCGTTTGCTTTAGCGTTTTCTGAATTTTCAGGTCTACAAGGCCGAGCTCAATGGGAAGACAGTGGCTGTGAAAGTGCAGCGGCCCGATGTCCGAGAGCAATCCACCCTAGTCGCCTGGCCAAGGCTCTGTTAGCTTTGGGCTTTGGGTGCCAGATGCTGGTTGGTAACCCCTTGCATGGATTTTATGAACTCAGGCATAGGCATGTTGAGGAACAGTTGGCCAAGGTTTGAGGCCTTGGCCAGATCCCGCTATGCTAAACAAATCTAAAGAAGTAGACTCTGCACTTTATGCACGTGTTTTATTAGAGCCTGTGGAGTAGGCTTTCATTTGACCTCTTACTGGCAAGTGGGCTTCGAGGACCTCTATGTGATCCGCACAGCTGGCTCAATTGGCTCGCTGCTACCGTGGCCTTTCCTGCGCCTCTCCTGCGATAGAGAGGAGGAAATATGAAGATGTTCTGGAGGCTACTATTTTTGCGCTTTTTTGAAGTTGAGGTTGATTTGTTGTGGTTTTTCAACTCATGCCAGCACCAATTCTTTTAGCAGAGGTTCTTTAGCCGGGTAGTATTCGTAAATTTTGAGCCTGGAGATGCCCACGAGAGATGCACGAGCGTTCCGTGTTTGACCCTAGCACTGAAGTTGACGTGTGGACGTGTGGTTCGGCCGCCTGTGCTCTGGTAAGATATAGAGTTTCCAGTAAACAAGGAGAGGAAGCCAGAACGACGAAGCTCAGGATTTGGTTCAGGAAGGTCTCAAGTTTCACGCTTTGGGCCGACCCAAACTCCTTTCCAGTTCTTCAATGAGGGTTCTCCTCAACGAACTTGAGGTCTACGGCCAGGCAGTCCAGGAACCTCGTGGAGCTCATCGACCTCACCGCGCCGACCTTCGTTCAGGAGCTGGACTACGAGGCGGGGTTGGTTCAAGGGGCAGAGATTGGTTGCAGGTCTCCTCGTTCTAGCAGGCTGATTCCGGCACCTCCCTGAATGCCTTCGCACTCCGTTAAGCTCAGCCAGGAGAGTCCCAAAGCATCAGAGATCCAGGACGCGAAAAGCAACATCTTAGATCAGTAATTTGTATCCTGCCGAACCAGTCTGCGACATCGCCAAGACTCTGCCAGGTGGAGGCCGCAAACCAGCGTCGCTTTGCCGAGACAGTCGAGGTTGGACATGCTAAGCATTGAGGGTGCTTCCTGGAAGCTTCATGGATACTGACAGGTCCAGATATCGTATGGCTTAAGCGTGTGAAGTGGAAGGTCAGGATGGCGAATGTATGTGCCATGAGCCTGTGCAACGTCCACACCCCTCATGCCGTTTCTCTAGCTGAAGATGTGCTGTGTCGTGGCCTGGAGGATTGCGAGCTCATCCGGGATGCTGTCGTAGTGCCAGAGATCGTGTTTGCGAATCGTGTCCCGGCTGTCAAATGAACGCATGGGTGCCTTCAACCTGCACACACACATCTTCCACTCCCAATCCGCACCTTGTACGTGTGTGGTCAGAGTGTTCTTGCGTTGGTTCCCTGACCAAGGCGAGGTTCTCGTTCAGGAGATGTGGGTTGGCGCTTGTCCGGCATACCTGGATTTCCGGTCAATTTAGGTGTTTGGGGGTGTCAGGGCTTATTATGGTCAGCGACGTCGATCTCATCAGCGTGCCAGCAAAGTGAAGGAGCTGGCAAGGGCAGGACGCCAAGGTCATCAGAGTTCAAGACCCTCCAGACTCCACCCTGCAGGAGTGGCTCGACGGAAAGAAGTTGACAGAGCCTGGTGCGGCCCAGGAACAGGCTGGAAGCCTGCCCAGTGGTTGCTCAGGGTGGACATCGCTAGCTGGCATCGTTGGTGATGCCATTGTGCTTGGCTGCAGCAACTTCGGCTTGGCGGGTCGTAGACACTGCTGCCGTAGCGCCAGTGACTAGCATGGCGCTTTCCTGCAGCGCATAGTTTATGGTCTGCTTGGTAATGGTACTCATCATGGTTCTTCCCTGCAGTTGACCGTTGGACAAGCACGTCCCAATGATTCCCAATGTTTCAGGGCCCTATCAAGACTCCTGTTTGGGCTTGCCAGGCTGGCCGTGTGGTGAAGTGCCTTTGGCGCAGGGAGATGGTTTATGGGGCTTGGGAAAGTCAGGTTCGAGATCGTTTTGCAAAATATTTGGCGCGAAATGTGGTTAGAAGGAGATTAACGGAAGGCTGCGGAGCGGTCAGTTGTTTGTGCCTGCAGGCTTGATCTGCAAAGCAGCTGCGGTGGATTGAGATTCTCATCGTCTAGTTGCCGTGTGTCTGAGGCTGCTGCTGAACAGCTACATGGTCCAGTTCTTGGAAACGGGGCGCCTTAGCGTAATCATAAGACTAGAGTTTGGCCCAATTTAATTGAGAGATGTCTGAGCCGCAAATGCGCTGTGAGCAAAGAAGCCGCTTCTTCTCCCTGACACGGGTAAGAATCCTCCCACAGCCATCAGCCGACGAAGATTTGACCCAGGTACCTGCACGGGGACCCTCACCCCGGCAACTTTATCCTCATGGGCGCCTCAGCAGAGCTAGGGGATGGGTGGGGTTGAGGGTTTGGGAGGAGGAGCAGGGCTTGGGGCGTCAGAGGTCTTCCTAAGGCCCTATAGTGCCCCAAGCTTTGCGAGTTCTGATGGTCTATGAAGGGGCCATTGTGAGGTGATGGGCGCCTCGGCATTCTGGACTATGGCCCCAGAGCTGCAACTCATGGGCTGCGCCGCAGGGTCGAGGGTCAGAACCAGTATGTAGGCAAATGTCCAAACATGGGGGTTCTCCTTTTCAGCCTCCCAGCGCCCTAACATTTCCAAGAGGCTTCTCTGAGAGACTCTAAGGCCTGATGACCGAGATCAGTTCTGAGAAGCGCCTGGCTTTTATCGAGTTCCTGATGCATTTGCCCGGCCCTCAGACAGGCCATGGGCTTCCGATTTTTTCTGGGTGTGGAAGCACTTTGTATAAATGCATGAGCAAGTCTCTAGGCTGTGTGCAAACCCCCACGCGTTTGGATCCCGAGTCTTTAGTGGCCAGCCGAGGCAGGCGAAGGAGTACAGGAGCTGTCTCAACGACCTGATCCTCGGCTTGTTCATCCGTGCGACAGGCAACAGAAAACCTGAAGCGTCAGAGCATACGGATAGGCCATGATAGGCCTACAGTGGGCCTACACTTTCCAAGCAGCTGAGGATCAACCTCGAGTTCTTTCCTCCAGCGCGGGGCTGAGCAGAGGACGAACGAGCCTGGCAATCTGCAAGGGTCGTAGGACGTAGGATGAGCTGCAGAAGTGCAAGCATTGTGCAGACCCCGCGACCCAGGCCCTGGCGGAGGATAAGGAGGCCCTGGATATCATCGTGCCCACCCTGGCGAACACATTGTCGACGCTCTATGAGGAAGGTGGTGACCTCAAGAAGAAGCAGGCCCTGTCGAGAGGAATCAGGATAAGATCGCAGCGTAGATTTCGGGCTGAAGCCTTGGCAGGCGATGTTCGTAAAGCAGCGAGAAGAGATGAAAGCCGCCGGAAAGTTGGATGGCCTGCGAGAGAAGTGCCCCGCCTAAACCATGATTCATGGAAAGCGTCACTCCCGATACGGCACCGAGGCTGCAGGCCATCAGCAAGAAGTACTCCGGAGCTTTCCGGTTGCCTCCCTACTTCACGCTGATCCTGCGGGCCTTCGGTACCCTTGAGGGCCCCTTGGCCTGGTTGCGAAGAACTTTGTTGTTCCCTGGAAGAGCCATCCATGCCCGCGCAGATCTCTTCAGCACTTGTAGCCGCCTGGTTGAGGTCTCGGGCTGAAGACCAACGAGAACTTCGCCATCGTCAAGGAGCGGGGTAGGGGTCGAGCGTACGCCCACTTGTCGGTCCAGTGTGTGCTTTTGTGTTTGGCCCAGTGTATGCCCCTTCTTTACCACGCGAGACCTTGAGAAACCCACGAAAAACTCAGAAGCCTAAACGCCCTTTTTCGCCTTTAATACCCCAAAACCTCTTTCAAGCCGTGCAAAGCTTGCGTTAACTATATGACCCATGGTGCGAGCATTGGGGGGGCTGCGCCTCCAACCCCCCTCCGTTTTGAGCTGTGTAGCTATAAAAGCTTTCCGAATCCATCGTGCGCGAGCATTGACCAGCCCCCCCCCCTTGCCCGCATTTGCAAGCACCATGTTCGCACACGATGGGTTTGTAGAGGGATCATATGACTTTGAAGGAATGTCTACGAATAGTGCGATGTTCTTTGAAGCAAGCTATGACTAGCCGTGAATTTGCGGCTGAAAAAGTTAGGGATTAGGATTCGGATTAGGTTAAGGCTGTCTATTCTAAAGGCTGGTTGAGGCACAATATGATGTTTTGACCGTAAACAACCCGACCCAGTATGTTCTCGTGAGTTTGTAGTCCAGGAGTGTTTCCCGTACATTGCCCGGCGCTTGATCACCGATGACAGCTTCCGAATGCGTGAAGCTTTGAGGCGGGGCTGACAGCAAGATAGATCAACCCGAGCTCAGGGTGGGAGAGCAACTTGAGCAGGTCATACCTCTACAAGGGCCGATCTCGCATTGCTGTCTCGCGCATTGACGAGCTGGCAACGGGATTTGGCAACTTCACAAACCTAATGCTTCATGGCCCTGTGTAGGGGAAATCGTGCCTTTTGTGGGAAGGATTCTGGGGATGGTGCGAAATCGATTGTAGAGTTCTGTGCTGCTTTCTGCTTTCCAATGGGCGACAGGTCAAAACTGCGGTCAAGTCCAGGGCAAGTGTGACAGGCTTGTGGGGTCAAGCTTGCCGGACAGTTGCATTCATCGCTCCATGCATGTCGTGTATAACTACGCCTCTCGAATCTCAAGCCTCTGACCTCCCAACCTCACCCCGAACCCAACCAAGGGCTGACGAACCGTAGAGCAATGCCGTCAAAGCTAGCTTTAGGCATTGAAGGTCCTGAAGGCAGACTGCAATCTTAAACGGAACCATGGCAAAAGGGGTGATGGCTATGACAAACGTACATGAAGCCATGTCACACTGACCTTGCGCTTAGGAAGGGAAGCCGGACGGAGTCCGCTGCGGCCGGCGGCATCCAGCTCAAGCCCGCGGATAGCGGCACATCCAACGACGCCACTCACGACCAGAGCACCCAGAACAGTCAGCGACGTGAGGCCGGGGGTTCTGAGAATTGAGGCTGCGCTCATCAGGCCTACCCTCAATTCTTTTCTGAAAGTCCTTGTTAAGCAACAGGTGGATTCGGCCACACGGGAGATCGCAGAGGTCGTGTTCTCCCGGGACGGCAACTTCTTGCAGGATTTGCTGATCGAGGAGGGTGTGGCAGCCATCGATGCTCTCTCCCGTGCCTCGCTGGTGCGGCTCCTGCGCACTTTGGGACCCCTAGCTCTTCCTTTGTCCCTGCCCCTGAACCTGCTGCTTGGCGGCGTGGACGACCAGCAGCTTCTTAGCCGGGAAGACAAGCAGTCACTGCTCGTTCTCCGGCGAATCACAGAGCTTGTGGATGCTGGCCGACGCCCGGCTGCCGAGAGCGACGACCGTGGCGCAGACTTGGGCGAGACTGTGCGAAGCCTCCAAAGGCTCCAGCCCATTGCCCAGGGACTGCTGCCGCCACTGGGTGTCGTTCGACATCTAGGTTCTTTTCTAGTCGGGTTGCGAGAATGTTTGTTGGTGCACGAAATCAAACCGAATCCTGGAGTAATGCACCCGACAATGCCAAGGTCCATTACCCCCGGGGCCGCGTCCTTCGCGGGTCGCTTTGCCCGGCAGTTGGCGCGGCGTGTGCTGCTGCGCTTGGCTGACGATGTGGAGCGCAGGGCTAACAACGCCTTGATTGTGAACTAATGGCTCCATCAACTGCAGCCCCCGGTTTCACCATCCAGATTGTTGTGCGTGCGTACGTTAGCCGCAAGGTCTCGAAAGGTAGTTGATTGTAGGGCTCGAGCCTTGAAGACCCGGGCCCCGGACGATCAACGCACCTTGTTTTCGTGCAAGCCCTGTAGCCCTGGCATGCACCATGAGAGGGAGTCAGTTGTGGTGAGTGGGCCCTCCGAGATGCCCAGGGTTCTGGGCTTGGCAAGCAATAGCAGTACAGATTTTCTGGCGACCAGCAGTTTGACCCCTTCAGGGGCAAAGCTGCACAGCCTCCGAATTTTCAGCTTGGCCGTGGCGAGCCGCATCCGCAAGGAACGCAAAGATCGATTTTGGCACAGTAGGCTCCACATTGAGTAGGAGGCTGAAACTGCTGAGGCTCCTCAGGCTTACCCTCAACTCGTCACTGTTCCCCCCCCTTCAGGGGAGCGCGCTGTCGCCGCCCAGCAGGGCCGTGCCTCCCAACCAGGCTCGGCAATTGAAGTCGCGGCCCCGGGCTTCCGAAAGTCTCCCTTTTCGCCCTTTCTGCAGCTGAATTTCGCATGACTTTGCTCGTGGCTCGTGGTACTTCGGCGCGGGTGGTTGTAGGCTTCAACATGCTTCAACACCCCGAGGTTCTCAGACTTCGTCGACCAGCTGGGGATCGGCCTTGCCCATGAGCCAGTGGGCACCAGCCTGCCGGGCGCTCACCAACCAAGACTGGGGGGACCTTACCTTTGTTTAAGGCACTCTTTCAGGTTTGCCCCATCTCTCGACATTATACGAGGAACATATCGAAACACGTCTATTGTTTCAAAAATTGTTAGGAAAACTCCGATTTCGTTTGCCTTCTGTTAAAGGAAGCCTCTATTTCTTTGCATTCGACAAGGGTAAACTTCTTTTTCCCCTATGTTGAAATAGGAAACTCTTTGTCTAGAAGGCAAGAACGAACGACAGAACTGGTTAACGAAAGATACATGGGGCATTCGAGAAAAGGAAGGAACATGCAGGAAACAAGAATGCCATGACGATGACCCCGTCATGACAACCATATAGAGAACATCGAGGTTCACCTCATCATGGAAGGAGATTTTCCTCTTAACATGCCGCTATTTTGCCCCTTCAGAAGACACGCTGGTCCAAAACCCAAATGCAGAAGCCCCACAGTGCAGCAGCTAGGCTGCAGGGTACAAGGCCTGGCCATGAAACTGAGGGTTCATGTCCTGCAAGTGGGGATGTGCAACACTTTCATTGAAATTGGCTACAGTGTCCCCAAGGCCCGAAAAGCCGACCACTGTAGCCCCTAAATTCTACAGCTTTGCTGCTTGTTTGCCTTCAAACTCAGGTTGTGGCTCATTGTGCCCTGCTCCCAGCTGCAAACTGCTCTCAGCTGAACACCGGCAAGCTTTCAACTTCATTTGTTTTGTTCAGCAGCTTGGAGACAGAGAGCTTAGAGAGGCAGCACATGCTGGAGCTGCCGCTCCCACCTGAGTGGTAGTGCCCTCAGAGATGCGAACACGGGTTCTCGGAATTGCCGAGCCCTCACTCAGTCTCGCATAGTGTCGCTGCTGAAAAGATCTGAAAAGCACCTTCTGAGGTCTCTGGAAGAAGGCCACATGGGGCGTGCACCCGAGTGTCCTTGGTGACACGCATCATGCAGGTCATCGTGCAGTGGAAGCAGCTGAACTTTCCAAGCTCATTTCGTTCCGCCAAGGCAGCTCTACTTCTTCAACGATATGACGGGAGAAACGCGCGTGCCTCGCGATGTGCAAGTTGACACGCTTGTCTTGTCCCAGGCTTGGCACCGTGTCCATGTCCCCAGCCTGTGCTGTTCTGATAGCATGAAAGGCGTGAACATTGAATTGCTCATGAACGAAAAGGGCTGGCGGCCAAAGCAGACCCAGTAGACCTGCGCCGCCTCCTCGATCGCTTCATGGTTGCTGCTGGGTTGTACCACTCCTTGGGCCGGAGGCCTGCCATAGACGAAGGGGGGTTTCTTTCTTTGGCTTCGGTGAAGCTCCCGTACCCATGCAGAATTTTTGTGGTTTTCATTTTCGTTCCACGCTAGCTGACATCGCGGGGTTCTCATCCTCACCGTGGTGCGTCCTGAGCACCGGAGCACCCACTTAGCACTCTTCACCCCCCCCCTCCCTTGCATCTTCCCTTGCTCTGCAGGCATATGCCCGGCTGTGAGGATGCCCAAGAGGCTCAGCAGCCCCAAGAGACCATGGCGGCTGCTGCAGCGACTGGAAGCCGACGACGACGCCGATGCGCTTGCGCCGCTGGGCATCTCTCTGTTCTCTCACTCGGTGTAAGGGCAAACTGGTCAATGTTTCGAATGATTTCGAATGCTTCCCCCGCCCAGATCTTCGAAGCCATTGTTTGCACTTGTTTCCGGTTTGTGGGGCCCCCGTTTGAAGGATCTTGCCACAGCCTGCTGCTGATGAGTCTTTGGGCACCCTAGGAGAACATTGAGCGAGCTGAAGAACAAGCATTTGCTGTCGGACCCGCGCGATGCGACCTCCGCCATCCGAGCTTCAGGACATAAGCTGGACCGTGTTATCACTTGGGTTTGTGTCGTACTTGCACGAGGTAGGATATGAGGTAGGTCTTGGTCCATACCCAACAGTGTCAAAGAAATGGGTGCAAAGGCCAGCAAGAAGCTAGTTTCCGGCAGATGCACTCAATGCCGCCAAAACACGTCCCAAAAGCAGGCACCGCGCAGTAGGAAGTCAGAACCATCGCGTCGTTCGCCAGCTGCATAATCTTTCCGAAGTGTTCGTCCTCGAAGTACCAAGACAAAAGCAATGACGTGAAGCCTGCCCGCTGGCCTTTGTCAGCACAATGGTGTCGTTTCTGAGAAAGTGCATCTCAAATTCTGAAACTCATTTAAGCAGAGCATGTTTCGTGTTGATCCGCTCACCCATGTTTTCAGCGTCGCAAGCTCAAACTTTGGGTGCATAAACGTTGTTTAGTGCAAGTGGCAAAAATCACCAAAACAAAGTAACGAAAAGACACGACGCAATTCAGAGAATGTGAGAGGCCGGGGATTGCTGTGGCCCTGGGCTCTGGAGCTGCTCTGGGATTTACGGATGGCACGCCTGGATTCCATCATCGCGTACTCTGCTGCGATGAATGCATGCGCCTTGCGTTCGTCAGTCGTCTTTTGTAGCCACTTTGGGGTGCTGTTGAGCAATTTCTGGGCCAAACCGGCACAAGAGCATCGCGCGAGGCAAGAAAGGTGGCTGCTGGCCACAGACGGTGCAGCTCCTCAGGCAGGGATGTAGCGGCTTTGGTTTCTTTGTGTCGGTTCGGGGCCATTTGGTGGGGGCCATTTGGTGGTGGAATGTTGTAGGCCTGCTGCCTTGTAGAGGTGTGCCCGCGACTCGGTGCTTGCAATCGACGTCGTGGCTTGCGGCACTGTGCTGAGTAGCTCGTGCCGGCACAGACTTTTTTTTTTTTATATAAATTGCTGGTGACCACATGGCCAAAGAATCAAGGTTGGTCCCCGTAGCTCCGAGAATCAGACAGCTTAGACTTAGATGCTTGAGTTGCTTGAATCCATTATGTGTCAAGGTGGCCTGAAGGGCATTGAGCCCTGGCCGCTTTCCCTGACCTTCCTGGCCGAGATGGAGCAGAATCAGCAGCTGCACGGCAACCTTGTCGTGCTTGGCCGCTAAGCTCGACTCATCACAGCTTTGCCCGGAGACTTGGGGCATCTTGGGGCGTTTTTCAAGTTGTCCTCTTCAGGTAGGGAGTTGCCTCGGCCAGATGTTGCATGCTACACGGCAGCGGTCGATGCTTGTGCATCCTGGGGAAGTGCCTTGAAGGTCCTCGGAAAGGTGCGGGGGACCAAACCGGCTCAATTCTCATGAGGAGCTATTGGAAGCTGTAGTGCCTGTATTGGAGGGGAAGCGTTTGTGCTTTGTTTTGCTCGAAAGGTGCAGGCAAGGCATCTCCAAATCGATCCCGTGCTGCTGAATTCTGTGCTTTCCAGCTGTGGCGGTGACCACTGGCCACGGTTGCTATCCCAGTTGGATGCTTTCCGAACAGAATGGAGCGACTGGGGCGACTGGGGCAAGCGCATCCAGCGCTCTACGGTCACCGGGAATATCCTCCAGAATGCCTTGGCCAAGGCCGGTTTCTGGCAGCTCGGATCCTCCTGGCTTGCTTGGCAGCAGCTGAAGCCCAACGTAGTGACTTACAGCTGCCTCATGGCCGCGACCACTCCGTGCCCAGCCGATTCTTGGCGGCATGCTGTTCACCTCCTGGACGTTATGTGGGCCCAGTCCATCAGATGCAATCCAGTTGCACTGTCCGCGGCCGTCGCGGTTCTGGGCGAGAGGCCGGGAGCTTCTCAACTAAATGGTGCGGCTTTTTCTTCATCCCTCATGCATTCTCTGCAATGCAGCAAGGACTGCATACAGGCTTTTGCCAGAATTACGCACCCCTTCAGGTGCTGAGATCGCTTGAACATGTCTAGTATGTCTAGTTAGTCTACTTCAGAAGTTGCAACGGAAAGCTTCTTTCTGGAGGTGGCAGCCGAGCCTTGAGATAGTGGCCCGGCTCTGGGCGAGGCGATTGGCGCCCGACCCTTGGCAGAACGGCTGCGACACATTGCCTTTGCACGTCCCAGTCGCATCCTAACGGTCCTAACGTTGTCAAGGGCAAGAAGAGAGGGATTATGGGGTGTTCGACCTTTGGCAGATGCTACCAGTAGCTGTGTAGAAGAGGTGTTGCTTCTTGGGCTTTTTCCTTTTCAATTGCCTCGGCTTGTGCCAGCCTTCAGTTGAAAAACTATCCTCTGGCACCAAGCCCTCATGAAAGTTTCGTCATGTGCCTCTAAGATTGTTGTTCAGGATGAGGGGCTTGCGCGTTCCCTGCTGGCTACCTGCAGTGGAGGCACACGCGCCTGTGCCACATTGCAGTACTGTGTACTCTCATGCTCCGATAGTGCGTAGAAAGACCTTTGGGAGCCCAAGACAGAATACTCTTGCCATAAATCTTTGCGCAAATCTTGGACGTGTGAACATGGCGCAGGGATTACTCTGCGACCCTGTGGCCCATGTACTTCCCAGCCTGTGCCGGCACGAGAGGATAGTGTAACGATCACAGGTAGCCCAAGACAGCCCGAGAGAACAAAACAGGGCAGCGGTTTCAGACCTCGAGGGCCCGGAGGACCCCAATCCGCTTCTTCATGGTATGTGTGATAAATCATGACGTCCACCAAGAACCAATAATATGTAGCTTGTATGAATATGTATATGTGTATGTTCATTTTTGAGTCTACTTGTTTAAGCAGCCAATTGGGAGCAGGATCCAAGCTGACGCTTGGTCTCCTCGGCGCTTTTGGGCGCATCCGCCTTGACAGCGCCGAGGCGGGGGGGCAGAAAGGATCCGAAGAGAGGAATTTTCAGGATGCCTAGGAAGCTTACTGTAGGGTCTTTTTCGGGGTTGAGGAGCTTTACTTCTCCACCTTCAAAGCCCTCATCCGCAGACATGAGACATGTGCAAAGCATCCCCAGACTCTGCATCCATCTCCCGGAGAGCTCGAGGTCACCGGTGCAGCGGCGCAGGGCCTCGCTCAGCAGGCTCAGTGGCAGCCGGCGGCCGCCATTGCCGAGAAACTCGAGGGGCAGCCTCTTGCCGCGAGTTAAGTTTGGGATGAAAAGGCTGGGATGAAGAGTTGGGAGTTTCAAGAAGTGGAGTGGGCCCAAGATCACCGCAGATCTGGTGAAGTCGAGCTTCAAGCATTCGAGAGCCCTCTACTGTAGGGCCTTAAAGATTCTGGGTCCTGCCTGTGGGTCTTCTAGGATTCTAGGAAAGATGTTGTGCCGATGGGTGGTGGCCGACGACTAAAGCTAGAAACCTTTTTGCATGTGTTTCGAGGCAGCCCCGAGCACGAGGTGACGCCACCACGTTTTCGTCCCCAAATTGGGATCGAGTTCTTCAGCGTTGAAGTGTTCCGAATGGCTTCTGCAAGTGCAGGGTTCAGGAGGTTGTGTAGACAACACACATCTGCCGCAGAAGCAGGACGCACCACGCATTCGCAGATCCATCTTTGCAGAATGCCGCTTCTAGGCAGATGCTGACGGCCTTCAGCAGCCTCATCCTCCTCCGTGGGGCGGATGGAGTCGACGTATCCCAGCTAAGGGGGCAAGAGGTGTTCAGAAGACTATCCACGTATCAACAAGAATCTTGGAATTTCACTTTGCCTTCAGGTCCATACCGCACGACTGCTCGGCTAGGCTTTTCCTGATTACTGTGGGCAAGAACCCCTGTAAGACACGTGCATTCCTGCATCCCTGCTGACGCGCAATATTCAGGAAAACGCTTGGTTTTTAAGGAGAAACCATGCCGTCATCTCCACAAGAACCTGTGCAAAAACCTTGTGGTCACCATGACCGATGTTTCCTAGTTTGAGGTTTGTCTTCTAGACTCTACAGATGCAGATTGGAGTGTGACGAGCCCAGAAAACCCTGGTCACCACCCTCGCACCCCACAGGGTGGGGCTCTCTCCACCAAGTCCTGAATTCGAGAGAGCTGTCCCTTAAGCCATCTGAGGCTCTCAGGGAACCCCAAAGCTCCAAGCACCCAACATCGAGTTCCTGAAGTGGCTTTTCTTCCAGAAGCTCACACCTCAGGTGGACCGTGCCCTGCGCTGGTGGGCTTTGCTCCGCGAGCGGCGTGTGGTGCTGGACGAGCAGGCATTCGCACCTTGGAGGAAGCTGACGGGCACTGATCTGAAACCAAATTAATCTGAGGTTGAGGGCGTCCGACGTAATCACCCGAAGTCTAACCTTGTTGTGGAGCTGTTGATCTGACGAGGACGCTTGTTTTTCAGCATTTGCGCCTGTCATGGCATGTAAAGGATCAACGACTGCAGGGGACCCCACGCCGACAGTCAACCGCCCACACCCTATTTCTTCCACAAATGGCCAGACATTGACTCCCCTACAGCATCACCGACTGACTGAGCCGAGGTGGCAGCCCTCACCGCCTGTGCACGTGGCGGGAGGTGGTGGAGAGCCCTTGGCCTGTTGTGCCTGAGCTGGACAGTTTGGCCTGTCCTCCAGGTTCGGAAAAGTGCGCCTATTTTCCCAGAATCTGGATCCAATCTAAGAGGTTGATGAAGGTTGCAGAAGTGCCAGACCCCACGACGCGGTTGCGATGCTGAGTTGGACTAGATGGGTCCCGCGAGTGAAAAGAGAACACGCGTGAAGCACATTATAAATATTGTAAGTTCACGCACAAATAAACAATGTGTGTGCGTGTGAACAGCTCGAAGTCAGCGCGTGCATGCCCCCAGAAAAGCATGGTTGGGTTTGCGGGTGTGGAGGATCGGTTGGTTGAGTGTTGAGCTGCTAGGTCCGAGGTTCGGGGGGCTGGACTCAGCTTTCTGGTGACGGCTGATTGGATGGAGCTGGCCCCTTTGGAGCCTGGCCGATAAGGCTGGCTTGGTCCCTCCCAAACCTATCCAGATTTGAGGCGCGACATGGCGCTGCTGCGCGTGCCAGCGGGCAGGTTGTGGGGATGGAAGATGGGAAAGGATAGGTGTGCATCTTAAGGGCGAGGATTTCAGGTTTTGTTTCATGTCAGCCATGTCAACGCATGGATTTCTACGCCGCACCAAGCTGTGGGAAACCGAAACCAAGTTTAACAGAGATAGAGAGAGAGAGAGAGAGAGAGAGAGAGAGAGAGAGAGGCAGGCAGAGAGAGAGAGAGAGAGAGCGAGAGAGACAGAGAGACGGAGACGGAGACGGAGACTGAGACGGAGACAGAGACAAGTAAAACAGAGAGGTTCTCCGCGGCTGCTTCCCTCAGTGCCATGGAGGGTGCTCGGCGCTGGCGGCGAGCGCTGTCCCTCCTCTGTGGGTTTCAGGAGGGCAGAAGTGGAGATGCACGATATCTGGCCCTTGCTGCCACAGACGCCCAGACGAGATTCTGGCTGAAAGTCCTGTTGGCCAGATCTTTGCAACCCGCAATTGGCCGAATGAGCTCGCAGCCCCTCGTAATCTTCTGAAATTCTTTTTCAGCACGCTGGTTCTGCCTTTCCCCCCGCGTTTTACATGCAGCAGGGGCTCATGGATTCTGCCACGATCGAGGGGGTCCACCTCTATGGCAGTTGCGGGAAGGGATGCTTGGAGCCTTGGAGCATCACTCCAATTCTGAACCATCGGGGCTCCAGCAACCACAAGAGAGTGAGAGGGCAGTGGGCGGGTGTGTGGCGACCTGTAGTGTTCTGCTTTAAGTCACGAGCATGCAGTATCCTTTTCCAGCTGTTGCTATTCTTGTTTATTACTTCTCTAGTAGGCCCATGTGATTGTGGCCTGCTATTAGCCAGGAGAGTGCAGCAATGGCCTGTGTCTTCCCAGTCTGGTTTCTGATACACCTCCGGTGACAACTCCCACCAGTTCCCATTACTTCTGGGGTGGTTCCTGTTATTTGGTTTCTGTTGCGTCGGGCGCTGGTCTGTTACGCCCATCAGCTGTCCAAGCCTTGGCCCGTTTCTTCGGTACAGATATTGCCAGGAGAGAGCGGCCTTGGCGATGCCAGCGGTGAATGCCGCAGTGGCCACTTGTGAGAAGGCATCGGCACCACACAGTCCGGGCTATGGGTGCAAAGCCAGAGGGCAACCAGGATATCTGATAACAAGAGGATTTAGGCGGCAGTGAATGCAATCTGGTTCTCAAGTTTGAGGCGCAATGCGTACATCTTGAATGCGCAGCACATAGGGTACCATGCCCAGTACACGTACCCAGAAAGACCAGCAGATTCCTCGAAGCTCCGAGGGTTGGAGGTGGTGGGAGGCAGCGCACCTGCTCGCCTCCTTGAGCTCTGGTGGCCTCCAGCCGGATCAGATCGGCAGCAACAGCAACCCGCCTTCGTGGCTTTCAGGTTTGAGGGAGGTTCTGGGTTGGGTTCGTAGGTTTTGCTTTCAAGCTGGTCAAAAAGCAACTCTTGACACAATTTGACCTTTGGAGCCTCAAAGAGGCCCTGTCGTGATACCTACTGAACTTTTCTTGGAAACAACATCGGGTCAACGCTCTCGGTTGCTTGTTAAGCCCACGTACAACCCGAACTTTCAGCATCTTTCATTGCTCTGTCACTGCTGAACAAGTCGTTGCAACTAAGTGGCCGTTCGGGCCACGGTCAAGCCGAAACTGCTGTGTTCCATTGTGTTACCCTTCGGTGTGAGTACGGTTCGAGCACTTAAACGCCAATGGGCGTCAGATGTTCCAGGAGAATGCGCACATATGTGGAGATCACAGGCCCTCGAAGCTTCCTCCGATACTCTTCGCGAAGCCGCCCCCAACGTCTCTTGTAGCCCTTGAGGCCTTCGCAGCGCCTACGCCGCAGCGGCGCTGTGGCAGCGGGCTTTGGCCTTCGGTACCCGGCACAGGGACGTGGCGGCTCGGCACTCGGTTCCTCTCGGCTTCAAGCTTTCAGAGATCCGCACTTTCGAGCGGGATGCAGTCGCTTCTTTTGTTGTAGGCGACCTGGCGTGGAGGGTAGGGCACCTGCACCTGAAATTTCACCAGCTGAAGCCTGGATGCCCTGTGTTTCCGTGCCGTGATGAAGCACTAGCCCCAGACACAGCAGTGTTGTGGGAAAGTGCTGTTAACCAAACGTGGGTCGGTCATTTTCTTGGGGCCTTGGCTAAGCATGAGCTTGGCAAGTCAAGGTATCGTTCACAACCATGGTGGATGCACTGCCGGCCGAACGCTGGCGCAAAGCAGTGCAACTGTGCACCGCCCCCTGTCGTGACAGCACGCCAGCTAGAGAAGGCGCCACTTTTGCCCGAGCACAGAATTAGGGAATGGTGCTTGATGTAGCAACTAAGCACTGTTGAATTCCGAGCAGCTTTCTTGAAGCCCAGTACTCGCAGTGCTACGAAAGACATCCTCGCCCCCAACAAGACGAGGACATGGCTGAGCAAGCTGTTCAGCAGAACGAGCTCTTCTTGGGAGCCTTTCTGGGCAGCTGTCGGCCTGTTTGGCCTTCAGCCATTCAGATGCTGGCGGGATCCAGCTCCTCCTCTTTGGTGGCGCTCGTGCAGGTCGGGCTAGGGCAAGGTCCATTGTTAATTTCAGCACATTCTAGGCCTTGTGTCAAGACTGAGGGCAGCCCAGAGGTACTCAGTGCTGCAGATCAAACCAATGTGGCCTTCCGAGACCGGGCTTCGCAGCTTCTTCGAGAAGTGCTTGGGCCCGGCGCTTTCAGGGGCCACGACTTCAGTCAGCCACTGGCTGCTGTCGAGGCGCTGACGTGCTATGGGGCCCTTCAGCCGGAGGTTTGGGGGTCCTTCCGTTCGCAGATCTATGCGCCGGCCCTGCCGCGCCTGCTGCGCCTCAAGCAGGTGGGAGGCGAGGGAGGTGGGGGAGGTGATGGCGTGTGCATTTCTGACCGGGACCTCGAGCGCCGCTTCGGCCTTGGGCCTTTCACGTCTGCTGCGATGTTCCGGCTCGGTCTTTCGTGTTCTGGTGAGTCTACTGCCAGCTGGCCTGCTGCAGCGCGACGCTTCTGCCGGTCGCATTGTCAGGAGGACTGGCACGTTTTTGAAGATGCGGAACCGTCGGCACAGGCTGTGTTGGCATGGAACTCTGTAGCGGCATCGGAGGACGCTGCTTGCAGCCGGGGGGTTGTAAGCAAATCGGGGGCTGGACTTGATGTCGCCGATGCTATCAAGCTGATGTTGAAACCCGTTTTTGCTGATCATGACCGCTCTGGTCATGCTGAGCGGGCAGCCTTGCTCAATGTTTTGTCTTCTTTGATGCTTCGTGTCCGCAGTGCTTGCCTCAATGGAAGGGCTGCGCCACAAATGCATGCGAATGAAACAGCAGCGCGAGTTGCCTCATGGTGAGCAGCAGATAATCGTCCGGTTTTGGCAGTCGCAGTCAGATCTGGCCGTGAAGCCGTGGAGTCTTAGGTCCTGGACACATCCACAGGCAGCTTTGCCAGCGACCCAGCGGCTTTCATGATTTTGCTTCTGTTGCGGCCAAGCTGCACTGACAACGCGACACAATCTATCCAAATAGGTACCCAGCAGACATGCAGTGACATCCTGTGCCAACACAAGGTACAAGGACATCATCGATGAAGTGTTGCCGGCATCCCAGTGTGACTTGACATCGGCTCTCACTCTCACTCTTGCCTTACTTTCACGCACACGCTCACCGTCACTCTGACCCTCACCCTTACCCTCACCTTCACTTTCACTTCACTCTCAGTCTCACCAAGCACCGTCTTTAAGCTTTGGCTCCTCGCCGTTTTCAATATTGGGTTTAGGGTATTAGGTTGGAGGGCTGTTCACGCGCAGCGAAGAGTGGCAGAGAACATTTTGAGGTCACTTGCCAGCCACTTTTGTCGCATTTCAATGCTTCCAGGCTGTGGCCCACAGATGCAGCCGCAGAGGACATCTATGAGCCCCACGCTTAGGCAGAAAAAAACTGTCATGCAGTGCTTTTCAGTGTTTGGCAGTTGCATGCTTCGTACCAGCTTGGGAGGTTTTGCTGCCGTTCTTTAGGGGCTGCTTTGTGCTGCCGTTCTTTAGGGGGCTGGAGGATGAGGTCCTGTGTACTTCCACATTCCACAAGGCAGCTCCTCATGAATATCTGAGTGTCGAGAACGAGAGGTCAACAGAATCATAAAATGATCCGAAGAATTCATCCAACCTTGGGCAGCAGCCGGCATGGTGGTTGTACCTAAAACCCCCAGGCCCATCGAAGGCGCGCGAAAGCACCAATGCAAGGCGAGAGTGACGGTCGAAACCCTTCGCTAGGCAATGCTGCGCGGTCAAGCTGGACGACTGATCTGTGCATATGCAAGCTGTATGTATGGATGTATGTATGTATGAATGAATGAAGGAAATGAAATGAAATGAAATGAAACCAAATGAAACGAAACGAAACGAAATGAAATGAAATGAAATGAATGAATTGAAACGAAACGAAACGAAACGAAAGGAAAGGAAATGAAATGAAATGAATGAATTGAATGATTGAAGGAACTGAATGAATGAATGAAATGAATGAATTAATTGAATGAATGAAATGAATGAAATGAATGAAATGAATGAAATGAATGAAATGAATGAAATGAATGAAATGAATGAAATGAATGAAATGAATGGAATGAATGGAATGAATGGAATGAATGGAATGAATGGAATGAATGGAATGAATGGAATGAACGGAATGAATGGAATGAATGGAGTGAAATGGCATGAATGAAATCATTGAATGAAATGAGACGAATGAAATGAAGAAATGAATGGAGGAAATGATTTGAAATGACATGAATGAAAGGAAATGAAATGAAATGAAATGACATGAATGAAATGCATGAAATGCATGAAATGAATGAAACGAATGAAACAAATGAAATGAATGAAATGAATGAAATGAATGAAATGAATGAAATGAATGAAATGAATGAAATGAATGAAATGAATGAAATGAATGAAATGAATGAAAAATGAATGAAATGAATGAAATGAATGAATGATGAATGAAATGAATGAAATGAATGAAATGAATGAAATGAATGAAATGAATGAAATGAATGACATGAATGAATGAATGATGACATGAAATGAATGACATGAATGAAATGAATGAAATGAATGACATGAATGACATGAATGACATGAATGACATGAATGACATGAATGACATGAATGACATGAATGAATGAATGAAATGAATGAAATGAATGAAATGAATGAAATGAATGAAATGAATGATGAAATGAATGAAATGAATGAAATGAATGAAATGAATGAAATGAATGAAATGAATGAAATGAATGAAATGAATGAAATGAATGAAATGAATGAAAATAATGAAATGAATGAAATGAATGAAATGAATGAAATGAATGAAATGAATGAAATGAATGAAAAGAATGAAACGAATGAAATGAATGAAATGAAATGAAATGAAATGAAATGAAATGAAATGAAATGAAATGAAATGAAATGAATGAGTGAACGAATGCATGTCATCACATGTCCCGTCAGCCCACAGCTCAGGAGGAGTTGGCGGTACCTCCAGAAAGCCCAGGCATCTGCAGTGCAGGCGGCGGGAGAGGGCGCTGAAAACAATCACTCCCAATGGACCACCGCTTTGTTTCCCCCTTTCCCTGACCAGTGGGTGCCGAGGGGTCGCTTCAAACTGCTGACTGCTGAGATGTTCGATCCTCCCAGAAAGCACCGCCTTCGACTGTAGAAGGGCTAACTTGTTTTGACTGAATTGCGCCACTCTGTCAACGCATCTGGGAATCTCATAGTTGCAGTTCAGCATCATTATTCTGTCACTGACGTTGTTCTGCAGGTGCTGTCCCAGTGGAGTGGGCCGCACTGCATTGAAGCAGGCGCCCTGCGACTGCTTTCAAGTTCCATGGTGCATGTTGCGTCTCATGCTTCAGGGGTTCAGGGTCGGGCTTCGCCCAGCCTTGGCCCAGCTGTGGCGTCTCTGTCTCTTTTTCTTTCCCTCTCACTCTCTCACTCTCTCTGTGAGGTTTGTTTTGTGCGCGTTTCGTTGCCACCGATGCATCCAGTGAACGTGTTTTTCGGTCCGTCCAGGCCGGCGGCCAGACCGCGCAGCGTTCGGCCGGCGTGTTTCGCCCATGTGGCACTGGGTGGGTTCTTGGTGATTCTTGAGGCGTTTGTGTGGGTGGAGGGGTGTGGAGAAAGCAGGGTTTGGGCTTTTTGGCTCTGCTCGGATCAGTCTCCGTCAATATCAAACCTCCAGGTAAAGGGGTCACGGGAAGTACACGAAAGAATCATGTAGACGGTGGCTGGGAGATGACGCAGTTTCCAAATCTGCCTGAAACGTGGACTTGTGTTGGCAGGCATGAGTGATTGATGCCCCAAAGGATAGCTCCAGATGCCACGTCATGTTACCTTACGGCGCAGCCGCCTCCTGAACATTGTCACGCAAATCAATCATGGAGTCTGACGAAAAGCTTCTGCCCCGGGGCCTGTGGCCCTGCCACCCTGAGCTGTGTTAATCGCGATGCTTCTGGGAAGGATACTTGCTCATGCAGGGTTTCCATTCTTCTCCAGATAGCACTTATGCCACTTATGCCCGAAACGACAGTCTTTCCGCTTACAACCGCTGCTCAAGTTTCATTGCTTGCCGAGCTCGGGGCCAGGTCGCAAAAAATGTATGGGCTACCCATGCCCGACCAACACCGTACTTCCAGGCTTTGGAACCACAAGCATTTGCTGGGTATCAGGGTTTTGACAGCGACTCTGCTCCGATCCTGCAGGCAACCACAGCCAACTGGTTGTGTTTTGGCATGTGTTGCAAACCTGTGATCTGAAGCTTTTGCTTGGTTGATGGCACATTGCACATACCGGCAATCTCCATGCACTTCCAGGAGTTCACTGTCTGCCCAATCAGGTGTTTGCCACCCGCCTGGCTGACTGAAAGTCGCACTGAAGAGATTAGCTCACGTGCACAGAAGTGACTCGACATGAGCGAATTCATTCACCCGCCCTCGTGGGTTTGAGCCGCGAGAGTGTGGCGATTCCCCCCGAAGAATGAACGCAAAGTAATAAATACTACGAAGCCACGGAGCTTGCTACAGGTTCGAGCAGCAAATGGCAGTCAGATTTGTGGAGAGTACGTCGCTTGCCAGGCAGACCCTTGACGACCTGGACTGCTTGTTTGAGGGGTGTTTGGTGACGACCAGGGAGTGTCTTTGTGCGCGCTGAGTCCTGCGTCTTTTGCATGCGCAGCTGTGATAAGAACTCTTGTTGTTTAGTCGCAGTGCTTGCGGCGCTTAATCACCCTTGACAATCATCGTCCATCTTATTGATTGCAGAGGACCGGTACTTCTTCAATGTGACGACTGGCGACGGAACCTCAGCACACGTCTTGCTGCCATCTTTTCCATCTGTAGCCGACATCAGTGCCGAGCTGTGGACTGCGATTCTAGCGTGCACACGCGCTCGCTGGTTGCTTCCTGACGACCTGCCCTTTCAGGAATACAGCCGCGCGGATCCCAGGGAAGCCTTGGAGCCATTGCCTTAGCTTTCCGTGGAGGATCAAGACCTCCGTTCCAGGTTTAAACAGTTTGAAAGGAGAGGAGGCATTGCATCGAATTCTGTGGCTCTTTGTGGTTTCGAGGGAGAAGACACATCCGTGCGTGGACAGTCCTGACATGCAGTTGTGCCGACTCCGTCGTATAGAGTTTTCGGGTCAACTGGTTGTGGTGCGGTGCCTGGGGGGTGCTGTCGGCTTGGTTTGGAATATGGCAATCTCATGCTGTGCCCTTTCCTGCTAGTGACACGTTTGTTTGAAACTCTTGCTCGTGATATGCATTGCGTCGCTCACCGCTTCAACCCCATGCTGAGATCCTCAAGCTCTTTGAGCCAAGACGAAGCGCCGCTTCAGAGGTTTGATCTGCTCCAGCAGCACATGCTGCTTTCATACTGCATCCACTACGCACGGTGCGGCCCCAGGACAGAGGGGTTGTAACTTGTTGCGATGCCCAGGGGGGGCGGGTCAATTGCTGGGCCGGGAGGTGTTGGCAAGGCTGTGCTCCTAAGCCGCTCACAAGTGTGGCTGACACGGCGCAGTGGGACATAGGCTTTGCAGTTCGCAGGATGATGAGCGGCAAGCAGCCATTCGGTTTATTTATCACCCATCTGCCAGTTGCAGGAATTAGCAAGCCCCCCCCCGTTCAACTGGCGTCTTTTTGTCACACCAAGACTTCGGAGTCTGACACACGGCCATGCCCCCTTGTTCATCCCAACACACAACATGAACAACCTCAGCGTGACACAGAGTGGGTCCACCGATGGAGCTCCTTCGCTGTGCGGCGCAGATCTGCTGTGGGGAGAGCCCGGCCCAACCCAAGCCAGGGGTCTTGGGGTCCACGGCCGCGCCAGTTCCTTCAGTGGCACCCCCCAGCCAGGTTACCCTGACCGGTCGGAGGAAGAGTCTGTTGGTGGGACGCTGGGCTTGGTGTTGGGGTAGCCAACGCTAGTGTGTAGTCATGGGCAGCCTTAGATTCAAATCGGTTGTGTCGCAGAGGGTGCTTTGGAAGAGACGATGCCAAGGCATTAATTACTTTGGCACCCAGAACGAGCTCCATGGCTGCGTCTCCGACGTCCAACGAATGTTGCCGCTCTTGGACCAGCTTGGGTTCCCCAGCAACGCAGAGAGCCGGAGGGTAATGGTGGACACGCCGGACTGGCCACAGCAGCTCCACCCCACGCTGGCCAACATGAGACAGGGCATCGCCTGGCTGACCCAAGATGCGCAGCCGGGGGACTCTTTGCTGTTCCATTACTCCGGACATGGCGGCCGCATGCCCCGCACAGATGGGCGGAGTGAGTTTCACGAGACGCTCTGCCCTGTGGATATGGATGCCGCGGGCATGCTCTTGGACTCTGAGCTCTTTGAGACACTGGTGCGGCCTCTCCCCAGCGGCTGCCGACTCACGTGCATCCTCGACAGCTGCCACAGTGGTGGCGTGCTGGATCTGCCCTTTATCTTCGTGGGCACGCAGGAGAATTTGGCCTCTGCCTTGGCGGGGGAAGCTGCGCAGATGGCGATGTCGAAAAATTGGCTTCAGGATCCTCGGCTCCGTTAATCCAGTGTTTTGGATAAGCTTGAAACAAAGTTGCCACTGTTGCCACTAGCACCAGCTGGCTTGTTTTTGTAAGGTACACCAGTAAAACCCTTGTGAACTACAGTAAGGTGTTGAAAGCCTGGCCGACAGAATCTTCAATTTGTTTAATGTGTAAGCTGAAGAACAAAGGCCGCTGTATGCAAGCTCTCAAAGGGAAGTCAGCGATCAGAATCACCAGGAATCGTTAGTTAGAGAGGTCGCACTTTTTGTCGAGAAATTGGCTTCAGGATTGGCAAGCTTGGAAGGACAGCGACGACCCTGCCATGCTGCTTTCAGATGTGGCTTCCATGGGGATGGACCTGTGGGGCCTTTGGGGCAAATACAATGAGACGCGGGGTGCCAACGAGCAGGGTTTTCGCACCGACGAGGCCGAGAATGCTGGCATTGCTGTGGCAACCCGGCTTCACGATGCTGGAAGGCTTGTCCTTTTTTGCACAAGCCAAACACTCAAAAAGCCCTCACCACCCAGAACCACGAGCTTCGCAACAGCTAAAGCACGCTTGGATCCCTTGCTATTGGTAAGCCTGCTCAGCAACAGCCCTCTCGCTGCACCCGCCCGCAAGCCCAGGGCGAAGTGGTGGCCTTCACGGGCTGCGCCTCCGAACAAACCAGCGCTGATGTAGGAGACGTGGGCTCGCAGTTCCAGCCGCCAGTTCAAAGATGGGGGGGAGTTGCGCAGGGGCATGACGTAGAGGCCTCGTGTGAAGGGACCTGGAGATAATTTTGTGAGGTGAAGGCTGAAAGTACAGTCACCAGGATCCGTTACATGAAGGCGAGAGGTGGCGTGGATTTCCAGTTTGCCTCCAAGAAAATGCTTCACCCAAGATGCCATAACGAGAAGGTCTCCCAAAAGGCGACCAGCAACTGCGCGAATTTGTTTTGCGGGTTTCTGAGCGATCATCCCCAGGCTTCAGCCAACCCTGGGTGCAGCGAACGCAGGTGCACCTCTCCATGTTGCCTTGTGCCCTTCTGCATGTTTTGGTGTCCGCTCTGATGGGGTTGTTTTTTTGGGTGTTTTCGCCGCTGTTTTCTTGCGACCGGTTCCTTCGCGCCTCAGATGTTCCAAGCCCAGAGCCAAGAGGTCTTGGACTCCAGGATTTCGGCTCGGGGGCGTTTCAAGGGCTCGTTCTGGGGTTGCGGAAGTAAACAGGAAAGTGAGAGATTACCAAGAAGCATGAAGAAGCAAATCTCTCCTAGGCCTTCAACTGACACCTCCATTGTACCCGGGCCAGCGCTTTGGCAACGTAATGCAAGGTAGTCCGAACATCGCACTTCTGCTTAATGCAACGAGCTCACCTCGAAAATCCTACGCCGCAGCCTCGGTAGAGTTGCGGCAGGAGGGCACTTGCTCCTGGAGGGTGCCGGGAGGGCTGGAGGCCAGAGCCGTCAGATTCGAACTGGGCCTCTCCAGTGCGTTCTGTGAGCCGAGTGAAGGGTCTTTTTGACGCAAAGGGGGTTCTTTTGAGCTGAGGAGTCTTGGGCTGGTGCCACTGTAGGTGTACCATAGCATCATGAGATGGGAGGGGGCCATGATAGAGCGTGATGGAAGACGTGTTGGCCATGTCGGCCATGTGGGCTGTTCGGCTTCGAAGACCCTGACGGGGCGCAGGCGCCCTGACCTCCGCTTTCATCGAGGCCATGCAGGCTCAGGGCCAAGAGAGTACGATGCTTGGCTGAAGTTCAGCCAAGGGTCTTGGCCTCGAGGAAAGGTTAGTTGATGCTATTTTGTTGCGAGCCGTTTTGCAAGGCGTGCAGCTAAGAAGGAAACACGCTCTGTGCTACCAGTATGTAGAATTTTCCGTACGTTTTGGGTAGTAGAAGGGTAAGTTGGTCGTTTGTACATGTCACGTTTCAATCCAAGATGTGTTCCTTGTTTGATGACGCAAAACCTCGAAGCCCATGCCATTTTGGCTCAAGTTGGCCCAATTTGCCATTCACGCTCCAAACAATCATATCCATTTGGTGCTATCCGATTACGAACCATGCAAGGTGCATTCCTCCGCTTGCTTCTTGTGGCATCTTTGCAGCTGTGCCACAGCCGATTCTTGAGGCATGCTGAGGACGTGCCAGTGCATGACCAGCAGGAGACCTGCTCGCCCCTCACAAACCATGGAACGTACTCCTCGGTTCGTGTAAGGGTGGGCACACCACCTCAGCACTTCGACCTGGTAGCGGACACAGGCAGCAACAACTGTATCGTGATGGATTGCGAGTGTGCCCAATGCCCACAGGATTGGGGGAAGTGCTTTACTGGTGCGGGAAAGTCCAAGACGTTCGAGCTGCCGAAGTACAAGTCGAAGAACCCACTGCTTGGATCCAAGGGCAAGTTCTTGCCTGCTTCAACGCTGCTGACCTTCGGAAGTGGACAGATTGCTGCCCATGTTGCCACCGACGAGGTTGGCGTCGGTCACACACATGCCTTCATGAAGAATGGCTTGCTGCTGATGGTCGACCAGGCCCTGCGCCTCCAGGGACCCTTCGAGGGCATCTTGGGATTGGGGCGACCAGAGGTCAAACTGAGTGGCAAAGTCAACCATACGGGAGGAGAGCTCGATATCCACGTCCCAGGTTACGCCGAGGCTGCCGGTGTTCAACGTTTCTCAATGTGCTTCAACAAAGAGGCAGATGGCGTGCTAGGCCTGCACACCCCAGAGCACCCCACCCGTTTGGAGTCGGTAGGCCAGATCCACTGGGGGGTTGATTTCCACGGCATCTCCATCGGCGAGGGCAAGAACAGGCACAAGGTCAAGTTCTGCAATCCCAAAGACAAGCAACCAGGTCAGGAGACCATCTGTGGCCTCATTCCGGACAGTGGGACCACCATGATCACGGGGCCAGAAAGCCAGCTGGCTGATCTTTACATGGACCTTTGCTCCAAATGGCCCCGTTGTGAAAAGGCTTTCTCCGAGGTGAGCAAAGAGATGCACGACTTGCAGGCGCAGGGCATGCAAGTGGGACTGTCCTTGACGCAGCACGCGACGGTTCCAGAGGACCTGGCGGATGCCTTGAAGAAGCTCCAGGATGCAATGAAAGCAGGTGGCAAAGCCGACCCTGGCAATGCTGCCGATATCGCTGACATCCTTGGAGGTGCAGCCGACGTGGAAGCCGCAAAGTCCCAGAAGGACTACATGAAGGCCAACGTTTTCCTGCTGTTGTTGGAGCACTGTGAAGACTGGGCCGAGGGAGTGGACTTGGACAAGGAGCTTCCCAAGTTGAACTTCCACGTCGCTGGCCTGAACGGTGCAGAGACGGAGCTCTCACTGAACCCGAAGACCTACATCATGACGGCCAACGCCGAAATTAAGGTTCCGGAGATCAAGAATCTCGGTGGGTTGAACATTCAGATTGAGCGGAGGAAGAAGGGGAAGGTCTGCATGCCTGCCTTCCAGCCGGCTCCTTTCACCACCAAGCTGAACGGAGAGGTTTGGATCATGGGCACGCCTTTGTTCTACGAGTACACTGCTCATTACGACCGTGGTAGTGAGGACGGCAAGGTGAAGCCAAGCATGGCCTTCACCCACGCGGACGAGGAGCCCTGTGGCAGCTGCCAAAACAACCGCATCCTTCGTGAGACTCATCCATCCTTGACGCAGAAGAAGACCGAGAAGACGGGTGTCGAGTCCCTCCGCCAGCTCACGAAGGCTCCCATTGTGCGCAACTTCACTTCCACGCACTCACTCTGAATGTGAAACAGCATTCTGAGGCAGGCTTCTGTGGACAGCAGTGTCTCCAATCAATTGCTCGTCAAGCACTTTTATGTAGCTAGTATGCCAGCTGTGGAATGTACGTCCTCGCGAAACGTGAGAGACTTACATGCTGGCCACTACCGGATGAGCATGGTGCACACCCGCACGTACATCCGAAAGGGTTCTGTGTGTTGGGTTGGGGGCGTGATTGGTTGAATTGGGTGGAGTTCTCTTTTTGCAGGGACGAAGGTAGGCATCTGCCTGGAAGATGAGTGCTAAGGCTGCCAAGTCGCATCGTTCTTGAACCCAGTTTGCGTTTTTAAAGCAGGCTTTTGCAGAGAGACTGGGCCTGTTGCTCCGAGACTGTTGGACCCATCTGCCTCGCTCGGCCTCTGCTAGTAGCTGCTAGTGCGAGAGTCGAAAGCTACAAGCATCTAAGCTTGAAGCCAGCCTCAGGTATGTGCAACTCTTGGAGCACCTACGTCAGCGCCTGGAAAGCGCAGGCCTTAACGCACGGATGTTGGCAAGCGCTTGCACCGCAGTCCGAGTAGGAGGCAACAAAAAGAGCATGAAAGAGCACTAAAACGCCCTGTAGTCGGATCGAAGAGCAGTTCCTGCCTTGAACTGCTCGGTCAAGATTTGTGAGGCTCTGAGGCTCTTTAAACTTCAAAGGGGCCCCAGACTTGCAGACTCGGGGGTGAAGAAGTCTTTGTTGAGCTGGTTCCCATCCATGGCAGGATTCAGCCAAGTTCCGCAGCTGGCCTCCAGCTTAGTCCTGGACCTGAACACGCCCTTCTCGGTGGACAAGGTTACGCCCATTCCCCAGCAAGGAGCGATGCCGGCGACTCCCGGCATATTTTGGAGCCCAAACTTGTTGCCAAGACAAGCTGTGCGACAGGTTTTCGAGCCTTGCATGGCTGTCCAGTGATGAATGGATTAGAGTCCCTGTGGGCGCCGTCGGTGTTTTCAGACAGTTTTGGTACCCTACCCCAGCTTGTGTGGAATGGACTGCTTGCTTTCTGCTACCCATGGCACTGCCTAGGAAGTCCATGGATCGTGACCTGCCCGGCTATGGCGGATATGCGGACCAAAATCAGGATCCCTGCCATGCCTGTGTGTGCCTCCCCTGATTCTACCCTCACTGCCATCATCCCCTTCAAGTGCCAGGGGTCGATGTTCACGGACATGCTTGCGGGCGTGCACCTTGCCAGCTCAGTGCGCATAGGTGTAGGGCCCCGAAAGTGCGGGCTCAGCATCCATGCAGTTTCTGAAGAACATGATTGAGAGCAGACCTGCTGAGACACTGAAGGCCCAGGGACGACCTCCCCATAGCAAACCCCGAACCTTCCAGTCCTAAACTTCGTCGCAGGTTTTATCTTCGGTCCGATCTTTTTGTGTTGAGAGAAGATGAGAGAAGAAGGTGAGAGAAGGGCAGCTGTCCCTTCTGAGGCAGAACATGCTCCTGGCCGAGGAGGGGGCGGAGCTCATGGAGGAAGCAGGTCGTCAGGGTTGGGGGTTTTCAGGGATCAGAATTGTTTGGGAGGTCCCAGGCTCTGGGGCCATCGTTACCGGGAGGCGAGGGCCGAAGTGTGCGAGGAAAGCCCCTGGCCGGGCAGGTGACTTTCTCATGGAGGAGATGGCTCCCGACGATGATTTCTGACTTCTGAGTGCCCCCCAGACCTGACGTCGAAGTTTGTGAAACCAGGAGAGCTTGTTGAACACGTATGGGGCTGTCGGGCATGGGGTTCGACAGTGAGCGAGGGATTTTCCAAGAGTTTCTGACCTGCTGTTGCAAGTGGGCCTGTGTCTTTTGGTTGCCGGAGGCAACGTGCCATTGCTCGCAAAGCTTGGTCACAACTTATGGGTTGTGTCGGAAACTTGCTCCTGATTTGACGATGTGTGGCCACGAGCTCGTGACATTCATTCATCAGATTTCATCCATTTTGCAGCCTAGGCCTTCTCATCAAAGGAATCAGGTGCCAGTTGCGTTTCGCAGGAGTCCGGCAGATGCACTGTACAGATGTGCTCAGACGAGGCCTCTTCACCTTTTCAGAGACCCTCTTGACTTTAGATCCTCGATGCTTGAGCGGTGAAGAACACAGCACGTCGTTTCGTGCGCACAATGGTCCTGCCGGTTTTCTTGAAACCAACTCTGCTTTCGATTTGCTGGGGCTGCCGGCCAGTCTCCGGCTGAGGCAGGGGAGGTGCTCGTCCACGGTGGCGGACGACGGGCTCTCAGATACTTCTTGCCATCCCGTGGTGCCCTAGCAAATCTGGCAGGCCATGTGGAGTGCAACAGGTTCAGGAAACGGCCCGAATTAGAGTACTTGCCGCAACGAACACTTTCGAAACAGCTTAGCCGCGTCTTTCGTGCTCAGTCAGGGAAGTGCAACTACCAAGTGTCAACCTTACCAGGCAAGGCTCGGCCAACACCGGACCATGTGCCACGCTCTGAGGTCAAGACGTTCTCTGGACATGGGTCCTCTGAGGAGCTTACCAACAGATGGTTTGAACGGGATTCTTCGTTGGGGTGTTTAATGGTGTTTACACTTCACCGAGCCACTTCGTCGACCCTTGTAGTGTGCGGGCACCCACGCCCATTGGCCCATCGGAGACCGAGCCCACAAGACGCCAGGAGAGCTTGGTGGCACCATGGGGCGGAGGCTTGGAGAGCAAACTTCAGGATGCGCTCGAGGAGTTTTTGGGAGTGCCCAGCACCGTAGCAAGCACGCCTTTGAGGCAGCGAAGATGAGACGCAGGCATCTGCACCGTCATCGCCTCGTATCCAGGCCCCCCAAGTGCTGACCACAGAGAAGACTATTGACAACACTCGGTGCGTGCTCAGCTCGATTCCTGTGCAGGTCTTCGCGCCTGAGGTTGCAAAGCCGGGCCCTCAGGAACCAATCGGAACCAACCCTAGAAAGAGGACACCAAGTCCAAAAGATGCAAAGGGGTCAGGCTTGTGTGTCAGTGTTGTATGGGGCACGTGAGCAAACAAGGGCCACAGCGGAAGGGGGGGGGGGGCAGGACGGACCCAAAAAGTAGACCAAACAACGCACATCAGGAGAGTGAAAGTGATGCTCCCGGTGTGCAAGCCTCAGCTGCTGCTGCGTTGCTCTGTTGTTTTTTTTTGGGGGCATCTGAGGAGTCGTAATTTCATTGCTTGCCACTCAGTCCGGCGCGGGCGCGGCACGAAGAGAAGGAGTCCCCTCAGGCTCCGGCTTTGTCATTCGGAAGTCTGTTTATGGCGCTTGGCGTCCCTGGAGCATTGGAGCCACTTGCCCCCAAGCAGAGGCATCACCGAGACGCAGTCTGCTTGCGTGGCGCTCAGGTTAAGTGTGTTCAAGACATTCGCATGCAGGACACCGGAGTCAGGCCCTGCATGGGACTTTCCAGATCTGGCCGCAGTTTTTTCCGAAGTTCTCAACCTTCATCCTGGTCCGACGCATTCAGTACAGTAAGCCTGCAAGACCCTCAAATTCAGGTGCCTCGCACGGGGGATGAATCGGTGAAAAGCCAAGTGCCGGGACCTCGCAATTGGCAATTGGGTTGGAAGGGCCCACAAGGTGATGCGGGGATGGATAGGACAGGTTCAGGGAGTCTCGCTGCAGAGCTACCTGCCCAAAGTCAATTTTTTTGGATTGAGGGCTTTCAAAAGTGACCTGTGCAGCTTTCAGCCCGAATCCCTCGCATTAGATTTTCGGGGGCAAACGTGGCCGAAGAAGTGGGGCCCAAACGGCTAAAGTGAAGTTACCCAACCATACCTGCGGGCAAGGTCGTTCTACAGTGCCATGTCTTCTTGCTCGGAAGAGGCGTGTTGTGCTCGTTGCTTAAGCCGTCGACCGGGAAAAGGCCGCCAGGCTTGGGATGCCTCTGCAGGGTGCGATTCGCCTAGGTTAAAGTTCGAATCTGAACGAAGCCGAGGGGAACTCGGCAGGTTAAAGCCCCGTGCAAAAGCTCGAATCTTTCCACAGTGCGCAAAAAGCCGCCCAAAATACCTGGTCCCCCAAACTGATATCCAACGGCAGGCCCAGGGCTTGGATGACTTCGGTGGCTGGGATCTCACTGCACACGCTTCGCCAGGGTTTGGCTTTTTGACGGGCATGGACTGTCCGAAGGGCCGGATGAGACATGACGTGTTTCAAGGAAACCTTAAACCCAGAACCTCGAATCCGCACACTTCGCCCGTCAGAAGCCACGTGCTCCACGGCTCCACAATCTCTCACAGAACCATATGCTCTCAGCCCTGGCTCTCAGCGCAACCCGGATCCCCGAAACCCAGCCCAAAGCCTCCTAAGTGCCAGTCACGGCTTGAGTGGCTCGCAGCTCTCGCGTGGCAGCGTGAAAAGCCCCTGTCCGAAAGCGCCGCTCAGGCATCAGCTCTTTCCCCGCGGTCTGCTGAGACTGTCAACTCCTCGGCGTCGCTGCCAAGGTGACGTCTTAAGGGTCCTGGGGCAGTTTACTGCGCTGGCCTTGTTTTAGAGAAGGCTTTATCGAGTGTTCAGGGACGAATGAGTTTGGATTTGGATTTGGAAAGGTATTTGTTTGCTCTTGCACATTGCACAGTCCGCTTTTAATTCAACTTCCGATCTGCGGAAAGGAAGTCCGGATTGCACGTGCTTGCCGCTGCCAAGTGTCTGGAAGCAATGTCGTGAGATTCTGGGAGCCAGGTTTGCGGGTCGACCAGCAGGGTTTAAGCTTTCCAGACCCAAACCATCCCAAACCCGAAGCAAATCCTTAGCAGAAATCATGATCCCGAAATGAATAGAAAATTAGTCTGGACACGTGCAGTGCTCATTTTGGATGGGACCCGGACTTGTTGAGCCCCTGATCTTGATCTGCGTGGAGCAGGCAGCAGTTACACAACCACTTGTTTTTTTTTTGTATTTTTCCTGTTTGCCTTTTGCTTTGAGATGTTTTTGTTGCGTTGCCTTTTGGCGTTTTGGCGGATCCAACGCTCTGGAGCATTGCGCTTATGACGAGATGCTTGCTATATGCACCTGCGCTGGTTGGAAGTGTGCCGTAAACCCTGAAGTTGGTAACGCATGTCGGGCATGTGAGAGCAGATCCAAAGCATGGGCTCCTACGTCCAGACGCCCCTTTACAAGGATGGTGCCGCAGGGATTGCCTGCTTTCTTCCACCCGTTCCAGGGACAACCCTGTCCAACGGGTCTTATTTCATTTTGAAGGTTTGAAGTTAGTTAAAGTCCGTTGGTGCGGCCCAAGCCGTGGCGCGAAGTGCACGGCAGGGCGGTGGTTTGTAGGGCCAAGCTGGCCAAGCTGAAGCTAGGAGCCCCTACACGCGCCGCTTTTGGGACGGCAACAGTTTCTGATGGATGCCCTACAGAAGGACAGCCATCGGAGACCCTGAGAGGTACGGAAGTATGGGGCACCGGAGTTTCCAGCTCCTTGGGCCCCGCGTTACGGAGCCGCCACCACAAGGCCAAGGGCCTGGCGCGGCTCAGCGAGGCTTCTGTTTCGCCGGCGCGTGCCGGGGCACCAATCTGTGGCTGAACGTTGGTGCGGGACCGATTTTGAAGCCGGATTGCGGCTGAAAGCTGCCACACATCCGAGCTGGCGTGGGAATAGGCTCGCAGCTGTTCCCTGCGGCTGGCGGAGGCACATGAAACATGCGAGCTTTGTTCGGCGCAGGGGAATGCTGAGGACCGAGGGAGCGATGGCGAAAATGTTGTTCCGTTGCATTTGGGTGCCACTTGGGGTAGTAGCAATGGGTCCCAGAAGGCTTGGCTGTGGGGCCTACAGGATCGGGATGGGAAGCCGCAACATGGGGCGTAGACATCATCTTCTAAAACGGCTGAGGGTCAGCAGCTAACGGGTCGATTCGCGCCATGCTTGATCACCTGCCTCCCGGAGGGCGCTGCACCTCAAGCAAGTTAGCATCCCACGTTTTGACCCAGCAAAGACACAACTTGCAGGGGTAGAGGGGTCATGCCAGAGTTGTGGTGACGTAGTGAAGCCAGTTCACCCGTGTCAATTTACGGCTTCGCCATGCACTTCGCACCCTCCCCAAGATCCAAGCCTCTAGCCCATCCATAAAGCGGGCTTCAACAAGTGGCGTGAAGACGTCGAAAAACGATTTCGGCATGGCCGCGATGCAGCCAGGCTCCTCGCTTCGTGTTTTGGTGCTGGTGCGGTTGCTCTGAGAGCTTGGGCTTGAAAGGTCGTATCGCGGCTCGTTCTTCGGCTTGAGGATGTGGCTTTGCGGGTTGGGTTAAGGGTTTAGCATGCTGCAGGCCAGGGTGACCGTCCTTGGGGGGCATGCATCAGCGCAGTCCGTTCTTGACCAGGTGGCAGGTTGGTACTGAGCCCCACGATATGCCTAGCCACCGTGATGTGCAACAAAGCACGTAGCTCAAGCCCTGAGCTTGCCAGTCTCACGAAAGGCCATGTCGTACGCCCTAAACTCTAAACTCTACGAGTTCAAGGTTGCGGGTCGAGGGTTCAGAGTTCGGGTGTTCAGCGGTTTTTGAACGGCCCCTTTGCATCCACAAAGCAGCAGGAAAGGGAGGCAATGAACAGATTCATGTTCGAAACCCATCGGTCCTTGTCTCATCAGGCTACGGGGCCCCACCGGGCCACTTCGCGTGCGCCCGTCTTGTGTTGCGAGGCATTTGGGACAACCTGAACCCTTCAGGCTTCCGGGAGATATTGTGCACGGTTTTCGGGGTCCGGCGTTGGAGGTTCGGTGTGTCCGTGTGTGTGTGTGTGTGTGTGTGTGGCCTTCCCGACTATTCGAAGTCTTCGTGCTTTCGGGGATTGGGGGCACTTGTGGCTTAGGGACAGGCTGGGAGAGTGGGTTTTGACCTTGAACCCCGAGTCGCAAAACCACAGCCCGAGGCCCCCCATAGTCTCTCGAGCATCAGGGTTTGCGCAAGATGGTTCGTTTTGGGAGTTCAGAGTGTGCAACATTCGAAGAATTGCGGTAAGGTTCAGGGCTACCGGGGGCCGGGCCATCGAGCGCTTGTGCGACCCATGCCAGGGTGGGCGGCCACGCGTGGCTCCAAGAGTCGAAACATCTGAAGAGCCAACCCCCGCTTCGACCCCTCAGAAACATGTGGCCCTCATACGCTCAAGCCAGAAGAACTCGGGGGTGATGTGATGTGATGTGATGTGATGTGATTTGACGTGACGTGACGTGGTGTGGACAAACAGCGAGGCACGAGACTTTCCAAGCCAGAGCCGTGGCTGAGGTGTATCGTGGACCGCAAGCACTGGCCCAACCGTGGGGATCCTCGAGCAGAGCGGTGTTTGAATCAAGAGAGCGCCGAGAAGTTTGGAGTGTAAGGTTAGGCATCGGTTTCGGGATTAAGAGTGAGGGGCTTCTTGGAGAAAGCAGGCTCTCTTTTCCTGATCCGGCTCCCTGCCTTGTTTGGCAGTTGCTTGCGGCGCGCGAAAACCCAACTCTGAACCGTAAACCCTATAAAGTCTTGCACGAGTTCTGAAGCTTTGGGACATCCGGAAGACAGCCGCAAGGTACCGTGCTGGATCGCCCTTGTCGCCCTTATCGTCCTTGTCGCCCCAGCTTGGTGCCGCAGCCCGAGGACTTACGACCCACAGTCTGGCATCCGAATTGGGACAAAATGTGCTTCAGAAGCTTAGCTTTTGGATTTTTAAAGCTATCTCAAACCCAAGAGCCTTAAGCCCGGCGGTTTTGTAGGGTACTTGAGGTTGGCCATTCGACTTCCCAACAGAAGCTGCTTTCCTGCCTCACACCCGAAGCCCAATGAAGCACAACATTTTGGATTCCGAGAATTCCGAGGTCCCTTTGCCACCGGCAGGCTCCGCGAGAGATAGGAGAGCCGCGGGGGCTTGGGCGTTTTTAATATGTTGCTCTGTGTTGCTCTGTGTTGCTCTCAATTGGCCATCGACTTCGCGCTTTGAAAAAAGCGCGGCCTTCTTGTGCCATGCCGCGAATTTCTCGCAAGGATGAAGATCGAATCCACTGTCGAAGTCTGGGGGTTGTGCATCGGAAGTCTGGCAGGAGCAGCTCTCCGGGGGTCACCTCACCCACTTCGCCTGGGCTCCCACTCATGGCGAGAACAGGCTGGACCGTCATCGGCCACCTGAGCCTCCGCGGCCCACGAAGGTTCTGCCCACATCCAGAGCCGTGGAATCTGCTCCCGCTTTTACAACCCCGGAGATCCCTCTCCCCGAAAAACACAACAAAACTTCTCAATGCTCTCTCTACCAACTGCCCCCCCCCCACCCCTCCCTCCGCTTCTGGGAGGACCACGGGCTGCTCTGCCACCTGACGCCGGCAGCTTGAGCGGGGCTTTTGGCAGGGTTTCAAGGTGTTGCGAGTAGTTTTGACACATGGCTCTTGTGTCAGCGGCTCCCATGTAAAGACAGCAGGGAACTTTGCAAGTTTCTTGGGCTCGGTCTGGAGATACTGGCAGCTCACGCAGCCTGTCTTTGTGTCGCGCCTCGGTGCAGCTGAGGTCGACTTCCGAGGTGGCGTGTCTTTCGTGCGCTCCTCGTTGTTAGAACAGGCTGATTCCGAGCCCACATGCCCATGCATCGCGCATGCCAAACATATGAAAGTGGCTGGGAGTATTTCTCCCAAAGCGGGTGCCTCCTTAAGAATCTGTAAGAATATCTAGTACAGCCCAGGGCGGCGCGAGCTACGAGCAATACACAGACGAGGCGGGGTGAGCTCTAACCCCTTGAGCTGTAAAAACCCAAGCTAAGAAGCCACCACAAGAACCAGCTTGCAAGGCTTCGTTGCAGGCTGACGTCTCCGTGCTTTGGGGGTTCTCTCGTTCAATAGGCGAGTTTCTGAGTGCCAAGCATGGCCGAGTTTGCCAGGAGTCTCCGACAGTGTCGGACCAGGAGCTAAAGTCCATCTACGCCAAGCTGGACAAGAACTCCAACGGCGGGACTCGGGGGAGGAATCAGGGTGCTCTCCTTTAACAACCTTGCAAGCCCAGCCGCCCAGCCATCTGTCCAGGCATCGTGTCCAAGCTCGAGCTCATTGCTGTGGGGGACCCAGCTTCCGAGGCACACCCCGAAATGCCGGAGGCCCTGAAGCCTTTGAGCCCTAACGCCCTAAATCTTAAAAGCCCCCTAGACCCCTGTAAACCCCCTAAACCCCTTTCAACCCTGAACTTTGCAACCCGGCCACTCCCTGTTCAGTACCCTTGTTGGGGATAGCGCCCGAGGCAGTGAGTCAAGACAAAAGCATCGCCAAGCTCCTCGGCGCCGGCAGCTGAGCAGCTGAGGGTTTATCGGGTTTCGGGTTTAGGGTTTCGGGTTTAGCGTTCAGGGTTTAGGGTTTAGGGTATAGGGGGTTGTGGCCGATGTGCTGCCATTGCTTGAGTTGCGTTTCAGTGTTCTGGGGTTGAAGAAGTCTTTGACTTTTTGTTTGGTTCCTTGTTAACATGTTAAGCCTGGGTAACTGCTTGTAAAGACAAACGAATACTTCTCTGAAGACGTATCTGGAGGCCAAACCTGCCAAAAATGGGCCAGATCCAACAGATCCAACCAAGACTCCAAACGTTGCTCCCAGCAAACTCCGAAAAAAGGGCGGACCGGTACACAGCGGACCTGCTGAGATCGATGGAGACTCGCTGCTCAGTGATGAGAAGAGCTTCGATGAGCTGCACAGCATCTTCGAGGCCCGGGTTCAGGTTTTTGGCTTTATTGGCTTTATTGGCTTTATTGGCTTTTGGTTTTAGGGTTTGATTTACGGTCTGGTTTGCTGGATTTTTCGGTTCTCTGGTTCGGGGCGGGAAGTCAGCCGCTGCGTTGTGCAGCGTGATTATTTTTCAAGTTAAGCGGAACTTTGATGTCCGGTTGTCTGTGACTGTGCAGAGAGACGTCCTACTAGGAGTTGAAAAGCCCTGGGTTCGTTTGGGTTTGAAGGGCTTTGGGCATGGTATTGGGGATTCGGACGTGCCGAGTGCGAAGAGTGCCCTCTCGGCAACAAGTCAGACTTGAAGAGCAGACAGAGCTGCCCTCTCTGCATGGTTCTGAACCGGCTGCACATGAGTAAAAAAGGCTTGAAAGAAGGAGGGGAAGACACGGAAGAGTGAGGGTGGACCGACATGATGTGGCTTCGGTTCTCCGAAGCCCACGCTTTGGGGCTCTCTGCCGCCCGCCCACGCCCCACAGGAAATCTCAGCCGGCAAGAAGGGCATCGACTTCGAGTCCTTCTGCAAGCACGTGCGCAAGGCATCGGAAGCTGCCGCGGCTTTGTGGCAAGTCATTCGAAGCCCTCTGTGCAGCTGGGGGTTGCTGCGGTTGGGTTGAGCCGCCCTGAAGCTCAAACACCGTGCTCAGCAACTTACTCAAGCCTTGGCTTGACTAAACCAACCAACGCCCCAAGCCAAACCAACTATGAGGCACTGAGCGTTCTCTCTGCAATCGCCCGGCAGGCGAAGGCCGACAAAACGCCTAGGTCGCCGGTGTCCCTAGCATCGAGAGCTTTTGAAGTTTGAAGCCATGTGGAGGGGGTTGGGACAAAGGGAAATGGGAAATGACTGGAGCAGTAATCGGGACAACTTCGGCTTCAGGGTTTCGGATTGGACATCTTCCCCCAAGTCGCCACATGAATGCTATGGGCACCACGAACCAGGTGTTGGGCGATGGCTTCAGATCAGCTCCTCAACCCTACTGCGCTCTCGAGTGTCAGGAGCCGCATGCAGGAGATCTTCAACCTCATCGCAGGGCGCTGAGCGGACTTTTTTTGCAGGAATGGGAGCAGAGTTTCGGATTCAGCCCGTGTCTGGCATGGGGACCTCCAAAGACCCCAACAAGAAGGCCGTAGTGGGAGTAGGTAATCTGCAGGCAACGTCTACTGCACTCATAAACCCGAAACCTTAAATCCTAAGCCCCAAGCCCTTAGCACGGCATCACCAGAAGTTGCTCTGATGTGTCCCAGCGAATGAGGGACATGCTTGATAACCACAGTCGAGTGATCGTGCAAGTGACACTGCTAGCGCAGGGAGGTGGTGCTTTGTCTAAAGCCCTTTGGAGTTTTCGCAAGATGCCCAAGAGCCCTTGGAGTTTTCGCCAGATGCCCAGGTGACAGGTGTATATGTTCTTTGTAACATCCTGGTGGTGCAAGGGTCTCGCCTGCTCATGCCAGTATGGAGTCGAAACCCTCAACCCTAAACCCTAAGCCCTAAGTTGAAACAAAAGCCCCCAAAACCCCTAAAGCCCCTAAAGCCCTGAAAACCCTAAAAGCCCCCAAGAACCAACAGATCCCAACACACCAAACACCCTAAACCCCAAGAGCTCCACAACCTTAAAACCCCTAAAGCCCCACCAAAACCCGTCCTGAACCCTGATCCTCTCTCGCCCCCCAGGATGCCGACGACAGTGGCTCGATCTCCAAGCTGGAGCTCGTGGCCGCCATGCAAAGTGGCGGCCTCAGCGGCCCTGAAGGTTTAGGAAGGGGTGTTAGGACCATGTGAGTTTTGGGGTTTGTGGGGTTTAGGGTTGGGGGCCTTGGGGCTTTATGAAAAAAGAGGGTTTCGGCCAGAGTTGAGCGGCAGCTTGTGGGATCCATCTTTGAGGTTTGACGCAAGGGTTTGCAGCAACCGCAAGCTTCGAGAGCGCGAAGCTTAAAGACCCAAGATCCCGAAAGAAGACCTGAAAGGCAATGACGAGGAAGGCCTAGGCTTAAGAGAAACCCGGCGCGCCCAGACAACGTGGCGGTGGATGAGTTCCTGATGCCCGGGGTTGACAGCAGCCGGGCACAGAGCTCAATTCTTCTGCGGAGCCCACAGATTCCAGGGGTTGGGCCAGTTGACGGCTGAAGCAGCTTTAGCGCTTCGGACTTAGGAGTCTGAGGGGCTTTGGGGAATGTGGGATGAAGCGTTTTGGGTATTCTCGGTCGCATTGCCATGCTTTCGGGTGGGGCCTTTTGGACTGCGGGGCTCTCAGCAATCAGCGCTGCCAGATTATGGACGATGAGAACCTCTTCGAGAAGATCGACGCTCTTTTCGAGGTACCGCCAGGGTGCCAGGGTCTGGAAGGGCATACCTGCGGAGTTTGATCATGTTCGGCTATTCTTGGGTTAAAGGTCTTTCGCGCTTGCTGCGGGGCTTGCGCAGCTCGATACCTCGATACCTCAGATGACTCCAAGATTGTTGTGGCTCAAGCATGTGGAGCATGGATCGGAGAAAAGGCGCCACAGAGAGAATGTTCATGTGTCAGTCGGCCATGCCTGCTAGTTCTAGATGCAGCCTCGAAGGTGAAGCTGAAGGTCCTTGCACTCGGTTTCCCACAACAGCGCAAGCACATGCCCTGACAGGCATCATGATCGGCGGGAGTAGCCCAGAGCCCTTGAAAGCTCGAGGTTATACTCTTACAAAGCCAAGCGCCCAGCCTGTGGATCTGAACTGTCTCGCCATGAATCCGCCGGCTGGGGCGTATGCGGAGCTGTGCCTCCCAAGCCACGCAAGGCACCGCAAGGGCTGTGGCATCACAAGCCCCGAATCGTGCACCTTAACCCCTGAACCATGAAACTTAAACCGGCAAATCTAAAAGAAGCCCCAAGCGATGAACCCCACAGCATAACACCCACAAGCCTCAACACAACCTAACCCCGCCCTCAACCCACAAAGCCCGTTCTTGTAACTTGGGCTTTTGGGGTTGAGGGTCCCGAAGAACTGGCAGGTCAGTTTCCAGCTCCCGCAGCCCTTTGGTGAAGCCGTCCGAGGACCTAAAAACGGTCTACCTGGTGCCCCGGCTGTTGCGGAAACTCGCGAAAAACATGCCTCAAGGGGGGGGGGGGGTTGGGGGACAGGGAGTACTAGGAAGAACCATCAGGGAAGTTTCGGTCCCCCCCCCCCCCCCCCCCCCAAGGCATGCCTTTTTGGGGCTTCGGTCGATAGGGTTGTTGGTGCTGGATTTAGGTCACGTGGTCACATGCACAGAACCCAAGAGCTAGATCCAACGAGCGATCTTGTCTCAGGTGCGGCATGCCGAGTCCATGGAAAATGCCCCTCGCCAGAAAGCACTATCTATTGGGATGTTCCCCCATATCCTAACAGTCCTTAACAGGGATTCTAGTAGGGGTACTCTGATCCCTATGAAGGGCTGCTTGTATCCGGGGGAACATCCCAAACTATCTAGAAAGGTGCTGCTTGTACATGGTGGGTAGAGCGAAAGTTCAAGCAATCTCAAGCCTCAAGAGTGGGAGGTCCGCGTGCATGCCTTGGACCGAGCCTTCGGCATCTCGGCGGCTTGAAGTTTCTCAGTTCGAGGTTGAGACCGTTTCAGAGATTGGGCGTCTGAGCTCTTGGTTTCATGTTGTGCCGTTTGGCTAGGATGGTTTTTGAAGCCCGGACAGGCAAGCAGGCCAGGCGAAAACATCTAAGTTGGACCAATAGTTACATCGCTGACAGGAACGATAGCGAAGGAGACAGACATATGAGAGCGAGATGAAATTGATGAACAGAAATATGGGCAGAATTGCAAGACCAATCAATTTGAATCGAAATGTCTAGAATTTCATAAAGAATCACACATCCGAATGAATCTAAATGTTTAGAATTTCATAAAGAACAACACATCCGAAACAAAACACAATAAAATGCGGTCAGAAGAAAAAAGACAAGAGAACAACTAGAGACAGAAACAAAACAGCAGAAAAGTACATAGACATTGGCAGTGTATTGTGCATGTTGGTTCAGGGGCTGCCCAGGGGTATTTCATGCGTTGAGGCTTTAAAGGTCTGGAGCGGTATGTTGCGTGTCTCTCTCTCTCTCTCTTTCTCTCTTATATGTATATATATATATATATGTGTTTGTGTGTGTGTGTTTGTTAAAGTCTATTTATGTTTTTTTCTCCTCTCTCGCTCTCTCTCCGTCTCTCTGTCTCCCAATTCCGGGTCGGTTGGGCTGGGTTAGGAGGCACACACTATGTATCAGTGTAGTCATACATGTCTGATGGATCGGGGGCACGAAACGGAAAATGTTCGACCTCTCCACCTTTGCAATACCGAAGTTCTGGTTCGCTGTGCTTTCCAGCCAAATTGTGAGCGGCGTCCCAAGACACCCAAGACGGCGTGCCCCTTTTAAGTTAATTGATCTCCCAATGATCTTCGGGGACTTGTTTAGTCTTGTTGTCAAAGGTCAGCTGCGAACGTGGAAAGCCCCAGCTTGCAGCGATGCGGCTTGGAGCAGCAAAGTGGGTAGATCTCATGAGTGGGGCCCGGCTCCAGGGAACCCAAGAAGGGTGTGTGACACCGCTTGTTGTGAAGTCTCCGAAGCCAGAAAGAAGCCCCCCCCAAAGAATCTCCCGCCCCAAACATTTCAAAGCTCAAGGAAAAATGCAAGAGAGATTCGCCTTAGATGCCTACGAACAATGGGATCCCCCGAGCCTGAAGACGCAGAACGGACCCCTGACAAGTTCTGCGGGCGCAGGCCTGAATACCCCCCCAAAGAAGCATGGACAAGAATTGGGGTCTCTCGCAGAGACGCAGTATGCTGAAACCCTTGCGCGAAGCAAACGAACGCCAAGGTTTGCTCCGCACTCCGGCTGCTGTGCTTCGATCTTGACACGCGCCTTGCCATCACATCTGCGCAAAAGGTCCCCCGTTGCTTTGCTTCGCTTTGCTTCACTTCCTCGGAATGTTTCACGGAGACGATGTTGGCCGTTTTGAAAGACAAGAAAGCTGCAACTCTTTCAATTCACCTCCGCAGGTTTGCTCGGAGGGGTCGTGCATTCACAAGTTTCCTGATGTTGGAAGAGGGTTGGTGAACGATGCTTCCCTCAACAAGAGAAGATTGAGGCCGCTCTCTGCGCGTGGGGAGCGGATGCTTGGCAGCCATGAGCAACCCTGTGTAAAACAACCTTCAACTTCCTGAACGGGGAAGTCGAATAAGGTCTCTAGGTTTCGGAGTTTGATGCTCCGCTTGGCCGGTGGCTCATAAGTCTGCAACAAGGGCTCATTGGTTGAGGATTGGGGTCTAACGGGCTTTTTGTTTCCGGGCTCCGCGTGCAAGGCAGCTCAAGGACGTCCAGGCAGGGTGGGTGGGGCGGCTGTCTAGTGCTTGATGGTCCCGGGCACAACATAAAGGGCCCCATTGCACTCCAGTGGTTTATTCCACTACAGCTGGCACAGAGAGAAGGGGGTGCCCTAGTAGCGTGAAAACAGGCATCCCTAACCTCAAGACCCCAACCGTCCTCAGCCCGACATTCCGGAAATGCTCGGGGCCGAAACTCTGCGAGGCCCAGATGGCAGGCTGTGGCTTCCTCCAGAAGGCCTGGACACCCTGAAGAACCACTCAAAACCTTCAGCCCCCCACAGCCCTGCAACCTAAATTGGCCTATATCCTCTACAGGCCGACCCCCAGCTCCTGATCTTCAGCCCCCGCATGCGTGCGGCGCGGACGCGGGAGGTGCTCTTTGGTGGCGAGGCAAGGGTGGCTTCAGGGGACTCGAGGGGCTTCGGTTTCAAGGGGCTGTTGATGAGGGGGATGGCTTTGAGGGTCGCCAAACCGTGCAAGCACCGTGAAGCCTCAACATGTCGCCGCAAAGGGGCCCAGAATGAGCAGACAGTGAGTAGATCCTACACTGCCTGAGTAGACCTTACGCCCCAGCAGTACCTTGCAGCTTTGGCAGGTACCCAGCAAGGCGCGGGGCCGGGATTCAAGATTTTGGTCTTAGGCTCTACAGCCGCTTCATAGGGCTTTCTGGGAGTGTACGACCTAGAATAGTATGCTGACAACTTGCCTGAGAACAGCAGAGGGCTTTGTTCGGCTCAACTTTGTTATTCTTTCTCATTCTCATGGTTGTTCGTACTTTGCTGTTGTTCTGAACGGCCTCCATGTGCAAAGGCGATGCCGCAGATCGTAGAGCGCACGCCCATGGAGCCTCGGACGTGAGACAGACCTTGCAGGGTTGGATCAAAATTCGGATGCTGCCAGAGAGTGCGGATGTTGAGGGCCTTAATTTCGGGGTAGTCAGTCAGTTACACTTCGTGTCGCTACCGTGTTTATCGTCAGGAAACATGCTTAAGTCACTTAAGTCCCCATACTATGGTTGGCGGAAGGACAACCGACCACTCAACAATTCCGGTCAGTGCTCTCGCAAGCTTGCGAACCCTTGGCCCAATATCGACCTGAAGTTCTGCTGAGAAGCCTGCTGAGCCTGACGAAGTGAGGAACTAACGCTCACAAGATCAGAGAAGCCATCACATTTCGGTAGGAGGCGTCGGTTAAGTTTTCAAGTTGTCTTTAATTTCGGCCGACACCTGTCAACCGTGCAAAAGCGAGATCTTCCCAAGCCGCCTTGCACTCCTGTAAAGCCCCCCCCAGCCCCCTACGTAATTCTTCACTCCTCCGAACCTGGAAAGATTTGAGCGTCCCAGGAGGGCCTCTGCCCGGCCCAGTTCCAAGAACGCGTTCAGGGCTTCAAGGCCCGGAGGGTTCACCCAGTAGCAGGAAACGGAATGTCTCAGAACTGCAGAGGGGCATGATGATTGCAAGAAGAGAATTTAGCAGTCGTATTCCTGATCATGACAACCGTGCTTCTGGTAGATCAGAGCTGCTTCTTTCGGCAGAAGGGGCAGTGGATTCCGTTGTCCCACTCGCGTTGCACGGTGCTGTGCTACAGCAATCTGCAGTACAAATACGTATATCAGTAGCAACATTCCCAAAACCCTGCACCATGTGGCCCCAAGCCCTTCCCGTCGAAGGACTGGCTTGCGCAAACTCCCGAGACGCGGATTGTGGTGGCTTCTTGGTTTCGATTGCTCCTGTGGGGAACGGTTCGGGGCTGCCTTCATCCTTGTTTGGGATATTCGATAAGGGAAGCTGGAGGAATGCAAGAAGAAGCAGAATTGCCGAGCAGCAAGGTGAATCCTGATACTCTTTGCCCATTTCTTAATGTGTGTAGTCTCGAGCCCTGAAGCCATCTGGCATCGGCTGGGGTTTGATGGGCTGAGTGCGGAGTCAAGATGTAGCTGTTCCCTCACACCTTGCCGCTGAGGTTGGGCACTGCCAGTTCTTCTCCAGGCTGCTAGGCAAAGGACACAGCCATGGCTGAGTGTGAGAGCTTCGGGCAGGATAGATTTCACAGCCCGAGGTAGCCCGCTTGGACATCCCCAAGCCGGCCAACAGAGAGCCGCAAATCTAAACCTGATGCCCAACAGTATCCCAACAATCCCCAAACCTGGACTTGGACCTCGAGGGGAATCTGGCGTTTGCAAGCAATCAGCATAACCTTCAGAGTCTGCATTTGGAGGTCTGTCACCAGCGGGAGCCCCTACGGAAGAATGATGACCTTGCTTTCTTATCGTTGTGCCCATGTCTCGTTAGCATGAACTGTGACTGGGCTTCTTATTGGGAAAGTCGAGCAGAACGTCAAAGAGACACTCTCAAATAGGACTTGTTGGGGAAGCATGACTTTGGGGCAAACTTTCTCAGATCAATTTCTACTGGCTGCGAGAGAACCTGCAAAACAAGACAAGGACCGAAATGACAGACTCAAAGTCGCTACAGAACACCGAGATAACGTACTTGAAGCTCCTACTCGCTTCTCATTGGCCTCCGGGTAAACAGTGACGTAAGCTCTTGCACCTTAAATGCCAAGATCCCCCTCGCCCCATGGGAAGGAGCTGGCTGGGACCGCTACCTTAGCAATGCCGAGGCCGGGCAGATAACAACACAATTGAGGAGCCCCCTTGCGATCCATCTTAGAGCCCTTATACACCCGATATTCCGGCAATAAAAAAACAGCCTTGCCAAAAGTTGCTGGGGATCTAAGAGCCCCAAACTCGCATCAAGCCCACAATGGCAGGTGAAACGGTGCTACTTCGATCCGTCCAGTGGGGCCCTGCCCTTGGTTGACGCCTCGCACATGTAGTTTTTTGTTCTCAGAGCCTGGGAGTACTTCTGAGGGAGGCCCCTCATGTCCCTACACGTCAGGGCTCAGTTTGAAGGGCCTGGAGAGGGAAGTCCTTGAAAAGCGTTCCCAAGGCCTTCGACATCCCCGTCTCCATGTTCTTGCCACAGGAATGTGACAGCAGCGGGGAGGAAGCCTAGCCGAAGGGCCTTAAGAGCAATCGGGTTCGGCCTGCCAGTCGCCTTAGTAGCCTTTTGCAGGGTCGTGCCGATGGGGCCTTGACGAAAGTGTCGACCCCGCGCACGGCACGTAGGATTTGGGCTTCAGGGGTTTAGAGATGTGTATTCAAAGCTTGGGATTCAACCTCGAGAACTGAGGATAGGGTGAAGCTCGCCGGGTGAGGTAGTTGCGAGTTCTTCAGGTTGCACGATGCAAGATGCCGGCAGCCGTCGATCTCATGCCCTGCCATGCCAAGCATCCCTAACCAGCTCGAAGCGCGTGAGCTCGCCGGCCGAAGCTTCTGGGCTCGCTCCCCTCGTGGCACATAGGTTGCCGCCAGAGGGGCTTAGGCCCTTCTAGTTGAGTTCTGCTAAAGGGAAGAAAACATGTGGGCTGGTGACAGCCGGGGTCTTTCCCAAGGCATGCCCGATCTTGAGAAAAGCGTTGCGTGGCGACGATGCCGAACTTCCCTTTGGCTGTGGCTCGAAGGTTCTAGTTGGCAGGAGTTCATGGTGCACCCAAATCCGGGCTCGCTCCTTGGAAATCCTGCTGGAAGCTGCCTTTCCGCGGAGCAAAGGGGGAACTGGTAAGCAGCCGGGGCCCTGTGCGAATGTTCAAAAAAAGCCGAGCCGAAAGCTTTACCAGATAAAAGGGCGCACATGTGGCCTCTATGTCTTGAAGGCCAAGCTGCTCAAGCAAATCCCAGTGATAACAGTTCAAACACCTGTGTATCAACATGTTATGCCTTAGCCTTCTGGAGCAGCAGTGCGAACGGGGTCGGGCATAAACTAGGCCGAGTGATGGGAAAGCGTAGCTGTTTCAACCCTCTCGCTCAAAAATGCCCGGCCAGAGTGGGGCTTCGGGGATTCAAGCTGTAGTCACTGTAGTCCATCTGAGGTCCATCTGCGCTGGCTCAGAGCTTGACAGGTGCATCCTAGTGCCAAGTGATCGCCTTGAGATCCTTCCTTCCTTGCCTTCTTCGACATGCTTCGCCTTGCTCTTTCGGCTTGCTTGCTGGGGGCAGTTACACTGCTTCAGGGTTGCGGAGACGAGGCCACGTACCTTGCTTGTTCCTCCTACAGCAAGAATGGTGCCGGAGCTGTGACGGACTATGCCTCATGTGCCACGGCGTGCGACCAGGGAGAAGGCCTCCAAGAAACGTATGGCACCCATGACTGGAAGGGCAGCTCGGGCTCCGGAAAGTGCGACTGCAAAGTCAGCGACAGCGAGCACCGAACGGCTTGTAAGGACTCTGGGTACTCAAGCTGAAGGGCACAGTTTTAAGGATGCCCGCAAGTTGTCAAGTGATTCAAGTGAGTCTGATCCCATGCTTGATGGGAGGAAGACGCCATTTGCCACTTCGACACAAGTCGAACCGTTCCAGTATTGCTTGACCATTGCTCGATCCACGCCGAAGCGGGAATGAGCCTCCTCGTGTTGCATCAACGCACGACGAAAAGAACATCCTTAGCCTGCTGACCCTGGAGTAGGCCCCCACACGCCGGGCCCCAAAAACACGGAGCACACCGAGCAGAAAGGGTCAGATGGAACACACACAGAACCCCACCAGTGCTGGAGTACTGGGACCTCAGGGTCTTGGAGGGGTTGGATGGGGCTTGTAAGCAAGCAAGGCTTAACGGCTTAACACCCTAAACTGGTGACAATTTGCAACATGAAGAGTGTTTGCAACTCGAAGAGACCAGGCTCCCAAAACTTGCCCCTTAGGCAAAATCCCTGAAGATGTACTTAGGCGTTTGGCGTAGCGGCATTGTTCAGGATGTCGAGCGGGTTAAGATTCTTTAGTTTCAGGGTTGCTGCCCGAAGGCCATCGCGGGCGGCAAGAAGCCGCTAGACCGCACACGCGCTGAGTTGAAGCCCTGAGCATCGGCAATGGGTTTGAGGGTTTGTGGGTTTAGGTGCCGGATTGAGCACCTGGGCCAGCATGGAATGACAACGCCTCCAAAGCCCAAGATCCGGACTTATAACCGCCAGTACTCCCTCTAGCAAACCTTCAGATTTCATGGACTACCCGCCCCCCCCTTCTGTTGAGTTGGCGAGGGCTGGCCGAGTCTTTGAAGGCCTCTCGTTGTAGCGAAGCTTAGGGAAGCTTGGGGCCTTTCTGCAGACTCACAGGTGCCCTGAGCAGAGTGTCTCAGAAGTGTGCCTTAGGCGAATCACATACTACGACTTCGAGAAGTACTTCCGAAAGGCCTCCTGGAAGAGGAAGCCTAAGCTCTGGCTCTCTGAACATCGCCAGCCAGGGCAGTGTGGAGGGTGGCACAGGGGTTTAGGTCTTAGGGTTCTCAAAAGGGGTTTCAGTCGGGGGTCCTTTCAGGCTGTTGGTGTTAAGCGCTTTGCGTTGGGGCGCCGGGTGGGTGCACCCTGAGCGCGCCCCATCCGCTCTCCAACTGTGTGCCGCCGAAGCGCACGGTCCAAGAAGGCCCCCCATAATTCCCAAAATACGCACGAGAGGATTTAGAGCCCGGGGTTTAGGTTACAAAGTTTGGGGTTCAGGATGTAGGGTCGAGGCCGAAGGACTGCAACTGCAAGAGCAGGCCGTCGTGGCTGCCACGCCGCGGCCCCCAAGCAACTTGAACCGAACGGCCTGGGCCTTAAAACCCTCAGCCAACAGAGTGGCAAGCCGTCAACAAGGCCCAAGTATGAACAAGCACATGAACCCCGAGCCAAACCCAAAGCGTGCCCCGGCTGCTGAGTCAACACGCGTCTTCATCATCGGCCCCGGATTTGGCAATCAGCTGGCGGCCGAGTTCCACCCTTGAACCTCCCAACATCTAAGAACCCAAGAAGTCCGTACTCCAGCATCCCCCGAACTCCAGCATCCCCCGAACTCCTGAACCCTGCAGGGCCATGGTATGCCATGGCTGAAAAGATGTTGAAGGACGTCCCTCGCACTACGTATGCACGTGCAAGGGCTCAGATTGCACCCAAGCCTCTGAGGCTCAACCCACGTCAGAGCCGCATGGTTGAAGCGGCCGGGTATCAGGTGCCAAGGGCTCTGAGACTCAGCAAAGCTCCATCGTCGTGCACGTAATCCGCCCGGAAGCCTTAAGAAACCTTCACATACTGTCCCGTACTTAAGAACCTTAAAGCCGTACCCCCGCCCCCCCTTCTTCAGCTCCTTCCCCCCCCTCCCGACCAGATCGGCTGGTGCTTCAACATCCCGAACCCGGAGTTGCCAAACTTCCCGGTCGAGCCTTACTTAGGCACAAGGGAAGGAGGGGCGCTGGGGCTTTGGGGGGCGGGTCAGGTGCTTTGCGGAACCTTTTCGTAGGCTTTTCGGGTGCTTAGATTTTCTCGGGCAGCGGGGGCATCAGGTCTAAACGTGGCCTTGGGCTTTCAAAGATGGAGGCAAGGTCCACACGCTCTCACGGATAAACAAAAACATACATCTGTGCTATAACGCTCAAAGCGACCAGATCCATCCAACGGTGTTACTCTGACAACTCGACGATGCAAAACTTAAACCCCCACTCCCGCAACTCCCTACACCAAAAGACTTCACCGGCATGTTCAGACCGCATCAAAGCGGAGATGGACGCGCTTTGCCCCAAGATTTGCTGCAGACGAGCTTGGAAGAGGTTGTTCCGCGTGGTGCTGTACGTACACCAGCTTGTTCGATTCATACTGCTCATTTCTATGGTTGCCCATTCTATACAAAACATCACGTGAAGGTGTCGTGTAGCACTGTTGTACACTTGAGAGCGAGGCAACCAAGGTCCCAGATGCCTCCCGCAGAGCCCAACCTTCGTCTGATGCGACTTGCCCGAAGCATCCTGAATCTGAAGCCCTCAGCGCCATTCTAAGACTCAAAGCGCCCGTCCCCAGGTTTCGGCCCCACGTCCTCATGGGAGCGTCCAAGGGCCTGGTGCTGAATCTTCCTCCCGACGACGTCTGAGGATGAGGTACTGTAAGGTTTCAAGGCCTCAGAAGTGAGTGTGGCCCTTCTTCCGCGAGTCACTGATCAGGCTGAGTGACTTTGTCGAATCCAGGAGTTGAACCGCAACCGCCTGACCGTTCCCATCATCAAGCTAGAGAAGATCGGTTCTCTAGATGAGGATCTTGTGCCATCGACTTCAGGTACGGGGCGAATTCTCAAACAGGGGGGAGGGTTCTTTTAGCGAACGCAGACAACCCAAGTCCGAGGCGGCGTGTACATAGTCGGCCTCTGGCGAAGAGGCTACTGGCGAGGGCCCGGGGCCCCTGTTGGGAAAGGATAAAAAGAGAGTGTTTCGATAATGTGGGGTTCTTTGTCCCCACCCTCAGAGTTGAACTACCCGCCCCCAGAAAATCCTGCAGAGACAAGCCCAGATCTCCCAAAGAGTATCCCTGGACCGGAGAGAAGACCTGAAATCGTTTACATTCAGGGTGGGATGTCGGAAGTAAGTTTCTCTTTCTCTTTTTTTTGGGGGGGGGGGGGGAGGAGGGGGAAGGTGCTTTTGGGGGGTAGGGCTCCAGGGCCAAATGCAAGAGCGTGTCGTCGTGAGTTCCCCTAGCTTGGCCCCAAAGGATCACCCCAGTGTTTCAGGCCCACTGTGCTCATCAACGCGCCGGGAGCCCGGGGGACCCTCCATCAGTCTCTCAAGTGCCCAACTTGCCGCCAATGTTCGGGAGATCTTGCGCGTTCAAGACTCAGGCTCTGAACTGTCCGACGTGAGGGCTTGCCTCGGTTTGGACAGCATGCCCTTGTCACTTCAAATATCTCTAAATTCCTCTCAATTCCGTGATTCTTTCTAAGCTTCAAAAGTCCCCAGAATAAGCAAAGCAGTTGCCCTTCAAAGTGCCAAGCTGCTGAGCCATCCAGAGCGGGCCCCCAAAGTTTCCCAGGCACCCAATGTGCCGCCAGATCCCAGAGGTGGGCGTAGTCCTGTTTTTAAGTGGAGCTTGGCGCAAGAACGGCTTGGGGTTTCGGGGTCAGTGGGTGTGTGGTGTTTAGGCAGTTTAGCTTGTGGGTTTGTACGAAGGGAGCAGGGCAACAGCAACCTTCCAGGAGGCGAACGTTGTCATGGCCGTGGGCTCCAATGACGAGGCCCGGTCTCCAAGCCCTAAGGCCGTATGACCGAAACTCGCCCAAAACACCACCTGAAAACCCACAATTCGAAAACTTGAAGCCCCATGCCCCGTTGTATCCTTCCCAGTCTAAGTATGACGGCTGAACCCCGGCCTTTAGGAGCCAGGGATTGAAAACAGAACATAAAAGAACTTTCATCCGTCTTTCCTCAACACAAAACTCGCAAAGAAGCTGGAGAGGTGTACCCTGTGCAGCGGGCGGATCTGGAGGCACTACCACGGGCCTGTCGGGCTTCCCCCAAGTAGGCCTTTTGGGCTTTTCAGATGGCAGAACCCGGCTTGCTGCTTGTTTGTCTCAGGGCCTCATGCACACCGGTGGGCAGAACAAGACGTTCTTGTATTGGACTGCAGACAGCGGCCGGTTGCCCTCGGGACTGCCTGAGAAGAGCTCTCGCGTTGTTGGTTTACCGTCTGCTTTTTTTGGGGATCTGCGGAAAGGTGTTTTTTCGGCCTTTAGGGGTTGAGAATTCGAGAGTTCACGAGGCACTTGCGCGTGGAGGTTCCGTGGGAAGCTTGAGGAGCCACTAGAAATTAAGCACCTCAACAAGCCTCGTGGACTTCTTCAGGAGTCTCAGAGTATCCTGGTGCTTCCTTGAAGGTTTCATGCGTTTGTCATCTTGATGACGTGTGATGCCTCTCCCCGCTGCCAGCCAGGACAGATCTCCCGGCAAGGCGATACTCACAACCAGGAGCGGCCGCGAGGGCTTGTTGAACTGGGACTGGTTGCTCCAAGATGCTTTTTACATGTGTAAGCCTCCAAAAAAAAGCTGAGAACCCGACCATGCAGGAGTCCCTCCTCCACCACGATGTCCTCCCTCGACTCATTGATGCCACACTTTGCCTCTTGGCTTCAATCAGGTTTCGTCCCCGTTCCGGCTCTTCGGATGTTTAGGGGACCTCTGTGGGGTTCAGTTTGGGGACTCGGGAGAGCGCAGGGTTTGGGAGGGCTCAGCCCCTTTCGATGCCTCGGAAGGTAAAGAAGGCCCAGAGATCCATTGGCACCGGACCTGGAAAGAGAGGCGCGGCCGGCTCTTCCAAAAGGGCCGGTGGTTTCGAGGGCTTTTGAGGGTTTGGGGGCTCAGGTTTTCCAAAAGTCTTAGGACCACACCTCGTGGCGTTTCTGGAAGGCTTGGTTTTGGGGCATCTCACTTGACATTCTCCACCGAGGAAGACAGGAGGTCAAAGACGTACAGAGACGTGCAGATCGGGCAAAAAAGGGCCAAGGATGCAGCTGCCGTCAGCTGCCATCCCTTTTTTCAGCAACGTGCAACGCCCCGGTGTTTGGCAGTTCACATCACGTGACAACAGTGCTGACACGCCCCGCGTTGTCATTCGGTCCACGCAAGACATTTGGCTAACAGCATTTGAACTGTCAAGAAGCCGCGTTTCTCATGGCTATCGTGGCACCCCAACGAGCGAAAACTCACAAAGGCATGGAGGAGTTGCTTGCTATGGCTTTACGTCTGCATGGTTGCAGTCAAGCCTTGCATGCAGCCTCCTTCTACCGTCCCAGGTCTGTGCTAACTGCAGAATTTTTCCCCATAAGCACTTTTCTCTGCAGCCTACCTTGACTGCTAAAGCACCTCCAATTTCTTCCCAAGTATAGCCCGAAAACCATTCAATCGCCAACATGTGTGGGCACTCTGAAATGACCCCCCCCCACCCCTAGCTGAAACTGGACCGCGCTTTTTGCTTTACATGGCGTTTAAATTGCAAGACCAAACTTTCCCCAAACTTGACTGAACTAATTTCTTGGTTTGGGGATTGTGGCTTGACAGTTTTAGAAGAGCTTAAGTTGCTTGAGCGTTCGGAGTTTAAGCACAGCTGCGGAATGTTGCCCTTCTTTTGGCAAGGCTGTCGCGGGACAGAAACAATGCCGAGCTATGGCTAGGCCGGAGCCAGTGCAAATGCCTTTTCAACACGGGCACCTGACCCTCTTGACGGTCTAGCACAGATTTGTTTAGGCCCGAAGCCCTAAGCCTAAACCTCCTCCTGCGCAACGTGGGCACCCAAGGTTTGACCGAACCATAGCCCAGACTGAGTCGTCAGGCTACAGCCCCGAGCAGATCATGCGGCTCTGGTCTACAAATGGTCACCAAAGTGGAAAGCATCTGCACGACGTGCCCATGGGCACGGAGGAATACCGGATGGTCAACGCGGCATTTAAGGCCGGATTCTTGCGCATTCAAGTCTTTACATTCGCTGCAGAAGCACACAGGGGCATGAAACTGCACCATTGTGCCAGCTGCATGCTTTTGGCGGTTGCACAAGTCTCAGCCAGGCGTTGCCCATGGAGCAGCAGGCCACAGCGTGATTGTGTGGTTGCGCGCCGCCTCGTGGGATGTCGGGTTTTGGCGAATCCTGTGCTGGAAGTGTGATATGGGCAGACGTGTTATACGGTTTACAAAGATATTGAAGACGAGGGTTAGTTCAGCTTGCTCCCTTTCTTTCGTGTTGGAACCCAGTGCATGTGAGCAGCTGACAGCTTGCAAGAACCGGCAAACGGAGATGCAAGTTTCGCTTGGGTTGAAAATTGTCTCCAAGTACCGCCAAATGACCTCTTCCCATGGAAGTTCATGGAAGCTCGCCTTTCTGGCCCGAAAGGGTCCTGTGAAGGTCCACGGGCCATTTTCGAGACTTCGAGCCCCCCCGCCACTGCTCGTTTCTCACTGTTTCTCCTTAAAGAGGCTCTCGCTTAGGAGCCCTTTTTTGATCGGCTTCTGTGGGTATGGGGATGTGTCCCCAAACCTGCAGCCCCCAAACCCTATGCTTCCAAGCATCCGAAACCCTGAAGCCGGCCCCCCAAACGCTGAACCCTCCTGGAAGAGGCCTACATCCTCTCGCCCCCAGAGACTTGGGCGCCGGTGAGGGCTCTACGTGTCCGGAGCTCGGTCTTCGTTGAGACTCTTCGGACTCTTCGGAGGTTGAGGCAGCTGACTGTAGGGGTTTTGGGTTGAAGGTGTTCGGTTGAAGGTTTGAGAGGTTTGGGGTTTGGGGTTTAAGTTCGGCTTCGGGCTCAGGGTTCAGGGTGTGCAGGTGCAATCTCCGGTCTCGCCTATTTATTCGGCTCTCCTGTTGCTTGCGGTGGCGTCTTCATAAAAGCGGCCGGACAATATGCAGCCTGCTGCCCAGATCCAGCGGGTGGAGAACGGCCCGCAGGGTGACGCCTCGTGGAAGCCCTACTACAAGTCGCTGCTGCGGTGGGGCTCCCAGGGGAAGCTCAGACATGTCCATCGTTTGACTGGTGTCTAAGCGCCCTCATCGTTGTCATCGTCGTCAGCAGAGTTTCGATCGTGCTTGCTGGGTAGTGCAAGCGGCATATTCTCGGATCTCCATATGCGCAGTCCTTGGGGTAAGCCGGGGGCAAGTCGATTTAAGGTCACTGGAAGACCAGGGTGTGGAGTTTGAGCCTGGCACGCACACGCCGCGGCCCTATCAAGTTCAGGAAATGGCTGAGCTTGGAGGGAGGTTGGGGAAGATTGTATGTGCACAATGCCTGTGCAACTCGAGACCCTGCAAGTTGTTCAGAATCCATCATGCTGAAGTAAGGCTGCTCAGACTCCCTGGGCTCCTCCCCCCGGTACAGTCCTCTCTCTGGGCTTAACCATTCCAGGTGCTGGGCTTTCCACGGCTGCAACAACGAGGCCCTGGAGCGCGGTCCCCCAGACTGCGCCGCTACGAAAACCCCCCACAAAACCCCACAAAAGCCGAATGGTGTTTCCGAAAGTGGAGATCCACCTCTGATCAAAGTTTAAGCCCTAACCGGCCCTAACCTGTCGAGTCCGAGGTCCATCGTGAACAACCCTGCAGCTTGGCTGCTCTCGAGAAGCTTCGGGCACTCTACGCTCTTCCCACGAGAGTGAACACGAACTCCTGCAACAAATGGCAGAGGAAATAGTACCCGGAAACGACACCCCCCATCTCTCCCAGCGCTGAGCATGTTTCGTCACTTCTCTCGCATCGCACTTCGTGCGAACTGTGTCTCAGACAGAAGAACTCTCCGAGGTTTGTGGTTTCCAGCCCCTGGCCTCTGGAGCGCTCTTTGGGGAGTGTTGGGAACAAAGAGACGGGGGGAAGTTGCATGAAGTTGGAAGAGTTGCCATTTGGTTTTGACTTTGGGCTTGGTTTTTTCGCGCATTGGGCTTCGGGGCTTCTTTGTCTGGATGCCTCCAGCCTTGGAACGGCAAGTGCAACGTACACCAAGCAACAAGCGAACCGGGTAGTTGATGTAGTTCATGTAGTTGGCGGTGTTTGTGAAGAAAGTGCTCGCGGGTTCAAATCTTGGTTTGGGGCGGGGTGGTCGGGTGATGTCGGGCGTAGGGTTTCGGGTTTGTAGCTTGAGTTTGCAGAGTTCACGAGCTTTCTTTTGCACGAACTTCGACAGCCCCCGGCAACCCCCAAGACATCCCTAGATTAATGTCATAGTAGCGCTGCGTAGACTATTGAAAGTCCAAGAAGCGACAGCATCGAGCTTGGTCATCCCAAACTGCGTTTTGAGAGAAGCTTGAAGGCTTAGTATATCTTGTTGAGTTCTTATTGTATCTTAGTATATCTTAGTCTTAGTAAATCTTAGTATGTCTCAGTACATCTTAGTACATCTTAGTATATCTTAGTATTGCGGTCTGGGATCCTTTCAGCTTCCGGAGAGGAACTCGCAGCACAACGCTGTGGGGCTCCGGGACGTACTTCGCCCGGGGCTTGAGTTGCCGGAGCACGCTCTGAGCGCATCAGTCGACTGATCCCCACCGATCCCGAAGCTCAGCTGGCCCCCAAACCTCTCCATATCCTGAACCCCGCTGAACACTGCGCCCCAGTGTTCTGCAAGAATTTCTGAGGATGGGAACTTGAAAAAAAGGGACAAGTGGCAAAGTAAATTTCGAAGGCGCCCGAACTCTGCACAGCATTGAGGGCCAAGGCAAGGATCGTTGCTGTAGCTGGTTCTTGGAAGACTATGGAATGAGGTGCCATCGTATCGTTCTGAGTACTGATACTCATACCTTCTCGTAGTGGGAATGAGCCCCAGAATGCAAAACCCGAAGCCCAAGACTTGAAGGCTTCGGCCCCAAGTCCCCGTAAGGCCCGGGACGCTAAGTACGTGGCCGACGGCGGCTTCTGCGGCGCTCCGAACGCAGATGGCACGCGGAGGCACCAAGCCGCTGTTGGCTGAGTTTGCACACCTCGGGATTTAAGGGCAAAACTCGAGATAGAGGCGGAACTTCCATTCGTTCTGTTCCCCCGTGTTATTGCTGTTGCAGGATGCTGATGTGCCTGCTCATCATGGGCATCTCTTGCCTGGGTGACCCTGCGCACAAGGCGCCCTCCCCTCCATTGGCTTCAGTTGTCATTTACAGCCTGAAAACCCACTGCTGCATGCGACCCTGGTTCAGGGCGTGCTCCCCTTCAGGCACAAGCCACCGTGCGGGGGCCAAGAATGCAGTTGGAAGGAGCTGGACTGCGGATATCTTTTCAGCTTCAAAACCCACGCACATTCGTCCCATGCACAGCCCCCAGGATGGCTTCAAATCCAGTGTCCGAAATCAACTCGAAGTCTCAACCCTTCGTGACATTGCTTGACCACCCCCCGCACACCTCTGAAGCTCCAGTTCCTCAGGCACCGCTACAACAGCTCGGTGGATTGCTTGGCGAGCCCCGAAGTCATGGTAGTGGGGGCCCTGGGGGCGCCCGGGCAGTTTGAGGATTGAAGCGTCGTGCAGGGAACTGATTCTTGCGGTTTCAAGGCCAATTGCTGCCGACCTTCCCACTGACTGAAGCTAACAGTAGGCCGGTAAACCGAAGTCAGGAGCAAGCTGTGAGCCAAGCACCCAAGCCGTGCCGAGATCCAGCAATCGGGAGCTGCCATGCCAGCCTACGCCCGATGCTAAACGCTGGCCCAGGGTTCGGGTCTTCAGAGGGAGTTTGGGGGTTTAGGGGTCTCATGGAGCGTTGGGCATTCGGGTTCAGGGCTGCAAGCTCTGCGGGTTGAAGGCTTGCGATTGAGAGTCAGATCATCACATCCTGAAGCCTTGCCAAGTCACCCGATGCTTGAGAGATCTGGGGGCCTGGGGGGCTTTCTCTGAAACGAATTGTCGGCCTTCTTCGTTGGAACTCCAAACGAAGAACTGCACATCTCAACCGTTTGGGTATCATAATCAGTTTGCCAAGCCTGCCGAAAGCCCAAGCCTACGATGCTGAGGTCATCACTTTTGCCTGAAGGGCGAGAGACAGCTTCAGAATGACTTAGGCATGAAGGACTTGGGGTTGAAGTGAACCCCCTCCTCTACCCCCACTTAGCCTTAGGCCCTGTCCCGGACCTCGTCCGTTGCGGGAGCACCGCCAGTAGTCGAGCAGTCACAGTTGTTTCACCGGGAGAGAGGCTTCTCCATTCCACGTGCCGAGGATCTAGGGCTTTGTGACATTCAGCGACATTCTGACGGCCCACGTGCATACTGGCCATTGCAACATGCTGCATGCCCGAAAGCGCTCATCCTTGTTGGGTTGAGGCGATCCACTTTGGTGTTTTGTTGTGAGCTAGTTCCGGGGATTTGGGTTCAGCCTGTAGGCAGACTCTGCGATCCTCGGCATGTGACGAATTTGGGAAGTTGCCACGCATTGCCTGCTACAAAGAGCTTGAGTGCGATGGCAGCCCCAGCTGCACAGTCAATTTGGGCAGGGGTCAACCCCAGACCTTACAAGTCCTGAGCCTTGAGCTCTACAAACCCCTAATGGTTGTTATTCCCCAAAATAGGCTACCCCTTCGACAACCCCTGCTTCCCGAACCCCCCAAATATTTAAACTATTGAAGCTGAAAGCCTGATCGGAGCCAGCCCCAATCCTCCAAGTCTATAGAGCCGAAACCCTACAAGTCCTGGGCCTGCGCCCCAAGCTGTCAACCATCAGCTTCCAAAGCGCTCCTCTAAGGTGACTTTCCTTGGCTGTGTGTGGTGATGTCTCAGCAAAAGGTGGTGGTAAAAGCTTGGCCTCGTTGCAGTCACAATCCCTGGAACCTTGTGACTTGAGGGTTGAGGCGGACGTCCCGGGGCTTGACTGACGCCAATAGATTCCCAGCTTCCTCATGTGGATGACCGCATGTGCTCTGATACCCGAGATGGGCTTTTGCGAGAAAAAGAGGGCCTCGGTTCTGCTCTTTGAAGGCTTTCGCTTGCGCGTGGGGCTGTTGGCGCGTAGGAGCCAGCCTTTCGCTGGGCATCCCAGCACAGGGGAGGAAGTGACAAACGTGCTTCGCCCTGCCCTGCCCGTGCTTACGTCGGTGAGGTGGCCGTTCTTGTGTCAACTCCGGTGAGGTCGACAGAAAGTAATGTCAGGGCTCCGACGCACAAACTTCCCGCCGCATGGTTTTCAGTCGTGCGTTTTACACGTTTTTGTTGGGAAACGCGTTTTTCCATTTTTTTGCGTGTTTTTAGAAGGCCTCCCAACCTCCGGAAAACAAGCTCCGTTGTCATGGAATTGCTAAAAACCTACTAGGTTTTTCGCACATTCACGGGCGTCACATTACGAGTTGGGCAAAATGAGGTCGCGAGGAGCGAAAACGCTGGTATTTACAGCGTTTTCGTGTTTTCGGGGCGTTTTCAAAAGTCGCGCAATTTAGTGTGCTTTGTGGGTTTTTTAGGATTGCTGGATGTCTGGATGGGTCGCGCGGTGCCCTGAGCTTGCTCGGCCTGGACCGCAACGGCTCGTGGTGCTGGCATCTGAGGTCGGCGGGCGCTGGGGCAGTGTGGCCCACGATCTCCTCCGCCGCCTCGTTCGCGTGCGGTTCTCTGCGAGCTCCCCCGCTGCGAGCTGCCGCTACGGCAGGCTGGCGGCGCCGCGGGTGGGGGTTCCTGAGCTGCGCGCAAGCAGCGCGCGCTAGCGTGAACGCTGGTGGGCGGCATTGGGCGTGCACCAGCGCAGCCGAGCTGCGATGGGCAGCCGACGCTCAGCGAAGTTGTCGAGCTTGCCGAGCCGGCGCTGCCTTCTCTGCTGCCGGTGCGCGCCGCGTAAGAGTGGGCAGAACGGATTGGACACTTTCCCGGCAGACGGGCGGAAGAGAAGCAAATCTTTGCAAACAAGGACATGCTGTGCGATCACAACGTTTCCTTGACACAGCGACTCCAATTTTTCGATGCCATGATCACTCCCGTGGCAGTTTTTGCGTCGTATTGTTGGTCCTCCGTGCGACGTCCCATGATGCCATGGCACCACACATATGAAAGCGTTGCGTCGCCAACTTGCCTGATGCAAGATGGGTTAGACGTGCTTTGAAGTGGCAGCCGGTGGGGCGGCTTAATCCTGGTAGAGGCGGTTGGGCGGGCAGCCCATCCCTCGGCTTGGAAAGCGGCTCTGGCGTTTGCGCCGATTTCGACCCGGGGCTGCTCCAGGTCGGACGCCCTTTGCCAAGCCAAGTCCACAAACGCGCCTCCCAAACAAGGCATGTGCGTGTCCCATAGGGACTAACTGCTTAAGCTACGTGGTTTGGGGGGAGTTTTCGGTTCCTCTGGCCAGAACGCTTAGTGTTCCCACGGCAAGCTAACTTCGCTGTTTTCAGGTAAAACAACCACATGTTGACAGCAATCGTGAGAGAGTGTGCTGGCCAGAGACGCGCCAGTGACGTGCTAGATCGTTGGTGTTTCGAGAATGGGCATTGGTTTTCCCGGCACTTCGACTGCCACGCGTCCGTGTTGCAGGCGTGCATCCCCCATGAGCTCGCCAAGTGCATCACAGCACCTCAATGACTCAAGGCACTCTCCAGCAGTGTTATCCCAGTGTGACGACACGGGAGAGTTTGAATAGCTGCGGGGGTTGCCGCCTTTGCCGATGTGCTTGAGCTTGTCCCGGGCGGTCTGCGGGCGGTGAAGTTTGGGTGGGCAACCAGCGCTCCTTGCAGCCCAGCACGGTATCGTAGTGCTTGGTGCCCCCACCGGTACTCCCGAGTTTGTTGCGGCTCCTGTGCGAACTCTTGGCGCGACACGAGGGCTTCCTCAACGCCTTGCCGGGCCTCCAGGACACCCAGGTCGCATGACTCCTGCTCTCTCACTGCGCCGCTCCCCGAGCGCAGTATGCTGTGCGTACTTCCCCCACCGCACCCACGCGCCTTTGCCACAAGACATGACGCCTCTTGCCACTTGCTTGGAAACCATCCTGTCGAAGGACGCTGCGGTCGGGCTGCCTGACCTGGCAGTCGCCCGCGCGCAGCGCCCTTTGCGGCATGGCGGGCTTGGATTGCGCCGCGCTGCCCTTCACGCGCCCGCAGCCTACTGGGCATCATGGGTTGATGCGATCCGTCCCCATCCTTCACCGGGACCGCGATTTCGCCACCGCGCTTGTTGCGGCTTTGCAATCTGGCGAGTCAGTGCCTGCTTCCCTTGAGTCGCTCCGCGACGCTCGTGCCTCCCTCGCCACAGTTGGTTACGAGCCACCGGCCTGGCCCCAGCTCCTGGATGACGGCTTTCCGAACCTGAGCTCGACCTCACTCGTGGATCGCAGCGCCCCCCGGGCCAACACGGGCCCGCTCGAGCGTAGCTGTGGCCACGGTCGCAAGCAATGTCCGCGTGCGCGACCTCAATGTCGTCACCGAGCGCCAAAATGAGCGTCACGTACCCAGAGCTCCGCCGTTCAGCCCGCTCCCGCCTGACAGAGCTTGCTCCCGAAGTCGGAGGCCGCTGGAGTCCCGAAGCCGCAGGGTTCGTCCGCCAGCCCTCATCTCGTTTGCAGCCATGCGTGCTTTTTGGCTCGCGACACTGTAGCTGGCGTCGTCGAAGCAGAATGTGGCATAGCCTCCAACGAAGGCAAAACACTAGTGTACAGTTGCGCCGGCGGTCCGCCTCCTCCCGGTGTCGCAAAGCTGGGGGCTGACGTGTGGCGCGAAGACAAACCACTGGAAAAACATGGGCTGGTTGTGCTGGGCACCCCCGTGGGCCACGCATTTCGTAGCAGTCTGGGCAGAACAGCAGATGAGGACCGAGAGGGAACTGCTGCACCAGCTCCCGCAGCTCCCTGCTTTGCAGTGCGCGTGGCTTCTCCTCGCGATGTGCACCTCGCCGCGGGCCAGCCACGCGCTGCGCACTGTCCCCCGACAGGTCGTGGCGCCTTATGCGCACGCACATGACGCGGCGATATGGGAGACGTTGGAGCTCTGCCTCGGCGGCGTGAGCGGACGTCGCGCACGCGCAAAAAAAAAAACATGGCAACCCTACCGGCAACCCTGCTTGATTACTGCTGTTCGCACAGCGCCGGCCGCATACTGGGCTGCATGACGCATTACCGGAGCTCCGCAAAGCGCACCCCAGCCTTCGCCGATGCCTGCATGCGCTTGCTCGCTACAGGCGGTGGGCGAGCGCCAAGCCTCAGGAGCGCAGTTGAGGCACGTGTGGCGCGAGTGCCCTTCTTGGGAAGTAATCGGAGCGGGCGCCCGTCCACCTCGCTTGACCGATCCGGGCTTGGGTGACTAGCTGCATGGATGGCAGTGTTGTGCATCGCGTATTCGAACCCTTTACTGTCGCGCGAACGCAAGCTACTGCCTTCCTGGTCGTCACCCTTTGAAGTGCTAGGAAACGACACGTCGATACTTGGATGCCCTGTGAGGTATTGGGAGAAGGGTACCGGAGCTGGCAAGGGGGTGGAAGGGGTTCAGGGTGTAGGTGGGTGGGGTGGGGCTTAGGGGCAAGGG